TCTTTAAAGAAGTTCAGCATGTAGCGCTTTTTAGATGTAGGATCATATTAAAGTCAAATTAATAAGCTGACCTTTAGTGAAAGAATCATTCAATAAAGCATCACTCAAATACTTTTCCAGTTACGGAATTTTGAACGCAAACACCGTTTATAAACCTTGTCGATCCACGGATCACATTTAAGGTAGATATTTTAGTAAAAAACGAAAGTTCAAACCATGTCGTATCCTGGAAATGGTATCAAAATAATCCCATAAGTCTCGGGGTAGCCAAGTAGAAGGCACAGCGAGAAGGTAAACTCTTGACATTATAAAGCATGTTGTTTCAACATTGGAAGCAGCAGGTTTTGAAATAATTGTTATGATAAGTGCCAGTTATCATGGTTATGAGAGTGTTCTGATGGGTTTTGGAATATGTGAATATTTTTCGTTTTTGCTGAATAATCGCATACCTTTATTGTGATCCGTGGACAAGGTTACAAGGTGTGTTTGTGTTTAAAATTCCATAACTCCAAAAGTACATGAGTTATTTGAATGATTATACAAAATAAAAGAAAGCTTATTAATTGGGATTTCATATCCTAGATCTGGAACGCGCTACACGCAGAACTCTTTTTGAAGTAGAGGTTGCCATTTGGGTTTCTTATATTTTTTGACTCGCCCTGTGGTGACACTGGTAATTGGTAATGTGGAGAGAATGATTATAGCGGTGACTATCATTGGTTAAGGTGAAGAGATCATAACTTTTGGACGATTTTTTTTTTTTAGAAAAGGTTGACGGTAACAGCTGGGGCCACTACCTACCAATCGTCAGGGGACGTGTAAATGATTGCAGTGGCAAGATCAATGACTTTTCTCGAGCGTGACGGGTTTCAATCAATCCTTCATGTTCAATATCGTGGGGAATGTGTCATCCTAAACTCACGCACCGCTCACACCACCTTTTCCGACATTACAATGAGCAGTAGGCCTATATTGAAGAGGGAATTGGGACGGCAACTTGATAGAATAAGGAAAAAGGGGACACCTGCTCTGTCAATGGTGTTAATGTCAACACAATTTCCCAATTTACTAGCAATTTAACAAAAATAAGAAGTAATATTTTAGGGGGGGGGGGGGTGATTTTTCAATGAGGGAGAAAAGTTGTGGATCGATCGCCTTATATTTGTAAGACATTTGACTAAAAGTCAAGTATTTTTATAACAAAAAAAATGCACCATGTAGAAACCAGCAACCGAAATACACCAACAAAATCTTTTAGAAAATGAAAGCCTTTCTGTCGGCGAACCCGTCACACGCCTGTTAATAATTAGTGTCTTCTCACAGATCAGAAGACAGAATCCATGAATAGCGCAACATGATGATAGATGACATATCTTGCCTTGAGAAAATCACGAGTCATCTTCGCCAATCCCGCCAACGTCACCCTTTTTCTTTTAATTATCGCTGGCCATTTTGATTAGGCGTGTTGTCGCTACAAGGGCAAAAATACAAGCCCCTTTACACAAGCTGAGTAAAATACTGCGAAAAACCGCGCCTTCCGCAGACTATGCACAGGGGAGGTGCCGTGCCTGCATCCGCTACGAGAATACCTGAAAACCACCTTGACTGGGTGAAAGCCGCAGCCTATACACTCGAAAGAAAAAAAATTAATTATCCTTTCCGTCGTTTTTGATAGCCGGCATAAAATGCGAGTTACCGGCTATGCACGCTTCGCCGCTCAAAAAATTGCAGGCAGGATGATTTGATTAGTTTGGCAATAATCGCGTTTTGTGGTGGCTCCCTTTTCGGTGAATTGGCGTCTAGGCCGCAGTATGATTGTGTATACAAGGGGAGCGAATGGCAAACGGTACGGCGAAGGGAACCATCTGCCGCAAGCACCTGCCGCGGAAATGTTACCGAGCAATGCTCGTAAACCAGCCACTCACATGGAAGTATGATTCCAAAGTGCGATCACTTATTCATGTGCAATAACGATAACTCGACCAATAGTCTTTAACACTACACAACAAATTATCAGCGATACTTCAGTTCTTCAGTTCAAGCACTGCATGTTTTATGGTGCTTCATAATTACTATGCCCGTATATACCATCAGGATTATGAAATTAATAAAATTCAGAAACTCAAGTCTCCAATGTGATCACATTACAAATCACCTTTTTTGTGATCCATGGATCTAAAACCTGTTTTAGATTCAGCTCTGCTGTTCATGTCCCGTAAGACTAAGAGGCAGGATGGAAAGCCGAGTCATCAGGGGGAGATATTAAGTTTCAAGAACACCTTCAAATCCTCCATTTTCTAAAGTCGGCTCCTCAGTTGTCTACCAAAAGCATGCAGCTCGTGACCTGTGGAAAAATAATTGGTTCACAACCTTGCGAGCAGACCAATTCATTATCGCTATAGGACGGATCGTTCCGATTTCTCACACTGTTTTGGCAAACGCTGTGTCAAGTGAACCAGAAACTTATATGCATCCTCAGAGTGATCAATATGTTGTTGCCTTGGTGTCAGGGGGAGTTGTCGTGGTAATCGAAGGGTGGCAACACTGATGTGACACGGACTAATTGAATCAATAGCGGCTGGACCGATGACATGCAAATTGAGACAGACCTGACTGCGTTGAAACAAGAGGTCGTTCATAAAGACTCTCATGCATGGATGCTGTTCTGAAAGGGTACACTTCATGAATTGTGTGAATGATAAGAATAATTTTGGAAAGGTCTTGAACTTATGATCTACGATTGTGGCAAATCTGGGGTACAAAAGAGCGTTTATTCGATAGGTTCATCACCATAAAAAAAAACCTAAAATGATTTCTGTATTCTACCTTCACTTCGATTGTATAACCCATTGAACATTTTAGAGGCGGAAACAATGTCATATATGCAGCAGCAAACAAATTACTGAGTTACAACTTGGAATATTTTTGGAATGTTTGGATCTTTGTTGGTGAAGCATTTTTTGTTTAGTCATGTGGTTGTTCGTTTGTTCTTTGCTTCTCTCCTCCATCACCACGGGGCCTGCTCTAGCTGCATCCACTGACAACTTCGTTCACGGTTCCGTTCACGGTATTGACAAATTGTGTCCGGTTGACCGGCAATCGACAGAGGCTTGAGCTTTACCAATACGGGTCCAACTGGGTCAAGGTGAAACTGGCGCCAAAAAAAGGTTGATGTAAGAACGGAGGAAAGGCTTTCCCGCGTTAGGTGTCGAGTATTGCACCGCCATCGATTACATCTTCAACAAAAATATCTTCCACGACAATGAGTAAACATAAAGGTTTACAGTGCGCAGGATATTCGTTAAAAACAAGTTAGGGTTGACACTTCATACATTTTTAATGCAAAAACGCTGTAATCGAAAAGTTATGACGCAAATGCTCTAATTTGAAGCAAAACAATAGCCGATACTTTAAACAATTCAAGTTGGTACAGCTACGTGGTTTTAATGGCCTTCAACTTCTGTCACGCAAGACGGAAATACGTACATTACTATAGTAGGAGAGTTATGGATCACTAGTCTGTTCACAGGTGGCATTTGTTAATTATCAATGACGAGCCGTACATGAAAACAGAAAGACGTAAGCTGATGAAACCAATGATGAAACCAAAAATATAACCCTCAAGTAAAATGGCCCGAGTAGATTCGAACGATAGTGACTGGAATCGGACCATGTTTTTACGCATTTATCGTTTTGTTTATACATGGATTGTACACATATACACCTAAAATAGTTTGTGATGTTGATTTATTAGCAAGCATGCACAAGAACGGGCGGATGTCCGTGTTTAATTCATTTTATCGTTGCTCATTTCTTCGAAACAGAACCAAATACATCTGTTAATGTACCCTTAAGCAGAAATTTGTCATTAATTCGTCATTAATTTTGCCTTATAGGGAGACACCGTCTCCCTAATGTCACAGCTCCTATTTAGAGGCAAAATTGTACCGTCCCAAACAGGCTAGATCGATTGCTCATGGTCCAAAATATAAATATACCAAAATTCGTGGGGATAGGATATGGTAACATTGGGGTTAAGGGTAATTAAAGTTGGGGACGGGGAATGTGCACATGTCTATGGGAATGTCTCCAAGTGACCCATTATCGGTCATTATTATACTGGCGGTCATATCATAATCATGTTTGGCGCTTTTATGGATTAAAGAAAACCTTGATTTCCCTTATATGCATAGAGTTTAAGATGAGATCAAGCATCAGCCTGTTCTGCGCAGCCACGGTAATCAATATACCAATATAATCAAAGAAGTTTAACGTATACATTTTCTCATTAAAAAGAAACCGTATGATTTGGAAACAAGGGTTACCCCAGCAACCACCCACTTGTGTTGATGTTCCCATGGTCACGCCCATCGCGGACATCGGGGGCGCTGTACTTCTAGGCTTAATCAAGCCTCGATCTGTATAATCTACCCTTTGGCTATCATGAGCCCTCAGTGAAAACGATATTACCCAATTAGCAAGCGGCTGATATTCAGGCAATTTTTATGGCCTGGGTTTTCAGCTATTTAGACGGAGGCAGTGTCACCCCAGTGTGAGATCTCAATAGGTGGACTGACTCCCATATGCCAGCTTGCAGTGTGAATAAACGGACTACTGTAAATTGGGGGGAATTTATGCAGAATTAATGTGAGGTTAAACAGGAGTGATATCTGTTCAGACTATTACCATTAACCACTCAGTGCATTTTTAACTACTCAGTGCATTGTTTTAACTGTGTTCATAGAGATGGAAGGTTGTGTAGATTTTTATCTCTTTTCAAATTGGAAATAAAATACTCTGTAAAACGACCATCGCCCTATTCACCAAGAAAGCCTATAAAAGTGGTACTGTGGTATTTTCATTAACACATGACATATCACCACAGCAATTGTGCAATGTCCACGTTCACGTTTTATAGTGTCACTGATACCGTTTTTTTTATTCCATCAAGTTTTATTGGGATACTGCTTGTGTTCTGACGACATTTTTCCTCTTTGCAGAAATCATTAAGTTGTTGTTGGAGCATAGCGTGCAACTGGGAGACGCCCTCTTGCGGGCAGTGGATGAACAGTTCACGAATGCAGCGCAGATGATATGCGAATACATCAAACAGAAGAACATACCGGTAAGGTTTAAATTTAGACATCGCCCAGTACAAAAAAAGCCAGCATTTTTTGGAAATTTGTGGAGTTAAAGCTTATGTATAAATTAGGTACACCATTCCAGGTGAAAACGCAAGAATTGGGCATGTAAAAACACCTTTCACCAGTTTGCCTTACAGAGTTCAAATTCGTTAGCATACCATAAAACAACTCTTGGTTTTTCCTTAAAGTGGTTTTTATACAGGGTGAGTCAAAAAACACGAAACCCAAATGTCGGGACTATTGTTCTAGTGAAGTTCTGCATTTAGCACTTCAAAATCTCGGTTATGAAAGCCCAATTCATAAGCTTTCTTTAGTACAAAATTCATTCAAATCACTTACGTACTTTTCAAGTTACGGGCTTTTAAACACGACCACCGTTTTAAAGTTCTGTCCACGGATCACACAGAAGGTGTGCGTTCTTTCAGCAAAACGAAAACAATTCACACACATCAATATGTGATTTGTTTTCGTTTTGCTGAAAGAATACTTACCTTTTTGTGATCCGTGGACAGAACTTTAAAACGGTGGTCGTGTTTACAAGCCCGTAACTTCAAAAGTACGATTTGAATGATTCTTGTACTAAAAGAAAGCTTATGAATTGGGCTTTCATATCCTAGATTTTAAAAGTGCTACATTTAGAACTTCGCTAAAATAATGGTCCCGACATTTGGGTTTCGGGTGTTTTTTTTTACTCACCCTGTGCGGTATACTGAAACAGGTATAAAGCATTTCTCAAGCTAACAGTTTTTTCAATACAGAAGTCAACAACTTTTCCACTTTGACTTCAACTAAAATAATAATCATGATGGCAAAAATGTAACTTCTATTACAAAAGTGAAGAGGGACTTAGATGTCACTGCTTGACATTAAAATAAAATCTATATGCTTTGGGCTCAGCCTTTCAACCGTTTAATACTTCCACCCCAAACAAGCAGCCTACGGTATGACCCCTAGTCTTTACGATTAATAATAAGTAGAGAAAGGGGGATCACATACTAAAGAAGCTTCTTAGGATGTACTTGCCTTAGGGATAATTTGATAACATGATCACCATACGATTAAGACCCTTGAGAGGAGTACCGTGCGATGGCATCTAATCGCATTACAAATGCATTAGATAGCCAGACCTTGACCGTTCGGGGGCGTTCATGGTTAAGAAAACAACATGGCCGAGCCAAAGTGATGGCTTAATTACCAGCCTGCAAATCCCTTAATTATTCTAAACATGCTTTGGTATTCAGTTGAAAGTGAGAAACTGGCAGTGTGAGTTATTAATTGATTACAAGGCATGCAGGTTGGAGCACTGCACCTGCTCATATCATCCATGGTGCACACGTGCAGGTTTATCGGTCTCTTGCAAGGGTACAATTTGGAAGAAACACTTTGTCGAGAGATTCCGCGGTTCAGTAATCAAAATGTAACTTATACATTCCCTAAACGTTTCGAAGTGACAGCCACTGAGACATAGGTCTTTCGTGTGCTTTAGAAAAATCGTGATCACATTTTGGTCTTTTTTTTAACCTATGAAGTATGTTTACGGATTACCGCTTGACTTTTTGACAAAATGACACTGATACTCTATTTTGTCTGAGAAAACTGCATGCCCTTATCCGAATGTCGTATATACTGGGAATGCGTACTTTCAATGTTTTCACACTTAACTTAATACATCAGTAAAGAGTTCCATTCAATTATGTTTCTCAAGTATAATCGCAGTGCTTTGATTCAGAAAGTAAGGTTTCGAGAAGATTACCACACAAAAAACAGGCTTTACGCAAACGAAAAACTCCAAAAGTTTACAAATAGGCCTATACCAACAATCCTTGACATGTATGTTGCTTGAATGGCTTTTCATTCAGGAATTTCTGAACTGCCGTGCGCTGAATGGCGATTTCCATCCAGACATCACACCCATCGTCCTGGCCTCCCATCACAACAACTACGACATCATCAAGATTCTCCTGGAGTACGGAGCCCGGATCGAAGACCCCGAATACTACGCCTTCAGCACCCAGACCCAGACCCTCCAGCACTCCCTGGGCATGCTCAACATCTACCGAGCCCTGGCATCCCAAGCCTACATCTCACTGACCAGCGCCGATCCGATCCACACTGCCTTCGAGATGTGTGACAAGCTCAGGAAGCTGTCCCACAAGAACCCGGAGTTCTCAGAGCAGTTCCATGAGCTGGCCGGGCAGTGCGAGCAGTTCGCGGCCGATATCCTGGGCCACATTCGGAACCACAAGGAGCAGACGTGTATACTCTACCACGACCCCTACCTCTGGGGGGCCTACGTGGAGGGTAACGGAGTGGGCCCTTACAAAGTCAAGATCGCCATCCATTACGAGCAGAGGAAGGTTAGTATCACCTCGACATGACTTTATTAACGTGATGCTTTTGAGTACGGTAATTTAGATTAATGGAGTTTCAGGTGAGTAATAAAGCAATATCTTTGACATAAAGTGTTCTGAGTATTTTCTGAAGAAGTCAACTGCAAGTCACAATTTAAAGTACGCTATTCCTGTGAGACGCTTCAGTGAGTTCAAGCCGATGGGCCTCACCTGCTTCTTGAAGACAGTTAGTTCATGACAGGTCAAGATCATTATCGGAATTTAAGATATGAATGGACTCAAGCTTGTTGAAGTAAATTCTGGAATGAACTCCGTCTTAATTGGTATGAAACTTCTGCATTGTCTTTCTAATTTTCTCTAATGAATGTTTGATCACTCGACAGTTTGTAGCTCATCCTCACTGCCAGCAGAGGCTAACCCAGCTATGGTACGAGGGTCTTCCCACCTGGTACGACTCAAACTGGCTTTCCTCCTCCATCTTCTCCGCCATGGTTGGCATCTGCTTCCCCATCCTCAGCATCCTCTACATCATCTACCCCTGGGGTAAAGTGGGAGCATTCATGCGGGTACCACACGTCCAGTTCGTCTGCCATACCTGCTCCAATCTGTTTTTCCTGGTCTTGCTCGGTCTCCAGTCGTCCGGTGGCCGGGACGTAGACGAACATGGCAATTCTATAGACTCGAGAACGTTGGCACCTACGTTTACTGAATGGCTTGTCATCTACTGGGTAATCGGTAAGATATCAGAGTCAGATGACGGGAACCATTTCAGAGAGAGGTCATCTTAACAACTGAATCAAGCTCCACGTAACTGTGTCCAAGCAGGAAGCTAGGAACAGTCAGTAAAATGCAGAGTGTGCAGGGATAGGCCTAGTTGTTTTGGGACCCGTTCGTCCCAAACTGGTCAAATACTCCAGGCTCTTACAGTTCGGGGGAGAGTAAATATCCTGCAGTAAAGTAATACAACACTTGCAGTTAAAGCTAGTTGAAACCAAAAACATGTTCCATTATCTGTTGGAGTACATTAACAAATCATACCGAAGAACTGTGATGACAATCAGTCACACCTGTTATACCTACATGAAAATGACAAAGAAAATGGAAACTCCAATGCTGATAAACAGTTTTCAAACAGTAATCGTCCTCTTCAAACGATTCTAATTCCCTTTTACAGGTTTAACGTGGGCCGAAATCAAAGAGCTATGGTACTACGGTTCGCGATATCTCAAGGATAGGTGGAATGTTCTGGACTTCCTAACGCTGTCTCTTTACTGGGCATCCATAGCGCTCAGAGTGGTCGTGTACCTTAAGGTAACTATTCTGACGTTCTCCTTAAAGACGTTTTGTCGCTCTTTGCAGTCATGGTTTTTTCCCACTAATAGCTGGCAAACTATCGCCGGCTGCGTTATCGCTACATCAAAAGGAAACACAGGAATTAGTTCCTCAAAGTGTTGAAATACTAAAACACTTATTAACTATAAGACACTATACCCCCAAACTATATTCCTCCCACTTGAACATATTCCATATATTCAGTATGTAAAGGTTGTTGCCAACATTAATGGCTTTCAAAACAAAATTCCAAGTAATAAGAATAATCCACCTACTTCTAACAACTAGTCGTATTGTGCCCATCTCGCGGGTATAAATTTGCTCCCTCGTGATCAAAATAAAACTGCCCCTTAATTAACGCACACGTAAGAAAGCATACTGATCGCGCTACCTATAAACTTGTCTCCTCTCTTGTATTGCAAAACTGCCCCTCAAAAACGCAAGTACCCCTCTCGAATTAACAAGATTGTGCACCTTTTCGAGATGAAAAACTACCCCTCGAAAGCACAAATATCGCTCTCGCAATAATAAAATTGTGCCACTCTCGAGATGGAATATTGGCCATCAAAAACAAAAGTGCTCATATCGCGATAACTTCTTGAGATGGAAAACTGCCCCTCGAAAGCCCAATTAGTGCCCCGCTCGCAACATTAAAATTGTGCCCCTCTCAAGATGGAAAACTGGCCCCTAAAAATAATAGCGCTCTTCACGCAAATAAAATGGTCACTGAACTGGCCATCAAATTAACAACAGTGCCCCTCTCGCGACAAAAAAAGGATCTCTCTACGTAACTAGGTAAAAGACACACAAAGAGCAAGATGGACCACGTATTCATAATTTGTTCCTCGTCATATAGGTTTATGGCGAAATGCACGGGACCATAAAGGTGCCCTTTTTTTCGGAGCAAGTGCCCCTTTTTGGTGTTGCCCCCAGTTTGAAAAGTGTTCCGCCACCCCTGACTCAAAGACAAGGAATTTGCATTTTGTTATTGTCTGATTTTGTCCCACAAGGCTTTGGAGAGAATGAAAGACCCGTCAGCAAACCTGGCGAACGTCACCATGCACCCAGTCACGACGGACACAATGACAATATCCTGGACACCTACGGATGATGAGGACGATTTCACGCCTAGTGGAGAGTTACCGTCCAGTATGCCGACAGGTAGGGACCTTAAGAACATGTTGGTCTGTTCTTTCAGCAGGCAGAAACCCTTAAACTGAACGACGTTGACTGGGTATTCGATTATTATCAGATAGTTGCTTACGATGAGATTTAGGCTTATACACAAGGCTGAACCCAGATTGTGGGAAACTTAAAAGAAGACAACATTCTCCTTGAAATCATGGGTTTGTTCAATACAATCCTTGCGAGTGAACCAAAAAAATGGTGTACATTAATCAATGGATATCCAATCTCCCACTTTGATATCACACAGAGGAGGAAGTGGACCCACGGCGTCTTCTTCAGGCCATCCACGAATTGTCCGTTCAGATTGATGTCATGAAGTATGACCAGGAGAGCAAAGATGGTCAGGTCGTGGAGAAACTTGCCTCCCTGGACGGCACAATCAGCCAGTTGGATACCAGGATGGCCAACTTTATCAAATCCCAGGAAGACGATGCGGGGGAAGTGGGAGGAGGGAGCACGGGCAGCCGGCGTCGGACGGGTAGTAGCGGCGGTGAACCCTACCCAGTCTACACAAAGACGGAAAACTCCACTGGCAGGGTGTATTGGAATAGCGACGATCCCATGTTGATCGCTGAGGGACTCTTTGCCATCGCGAAGGTGTTGAGCTTCCTGAGACCCATTAGCCTGACCGTCATGAATCGCCACGTCGGGCCCATGCAGATCTCGCTGGGCGGCATGATGTTCGACATCACCAAGTTCATGCTCATTTTCTTGTTTGTCCTGTTCGCCTTCTCTCTTGGTATGAATCAACTTTACGGGTACTACGCAGCCGAGTACCGGACACAGTGCGACAACTGCAGGATGTATTTCAGCTCGTAAGTACTCTTCCAACATTCTTTGTTGACGTTTTTCCTATAAGAATGAGTCGATATCATCGATTCATAGGGTCCGACCATCTCTCGAGAACGAACTTGAACATCCAGCTATGACCTGCGATTCCTAGCTTCGTCGAGTGCTCTTCAAGTTACATTACCGGTGCCAAACATAGCAGTGCCGGTGCAAAACATAGTTATACACAAATGCGCTCATCAGGCACGGAAATTGTACACTTGAACCACAGTATTTCGGCACAGCCATAAACTAGCGAGTTATGTACATACAATGTTCTATGATTTAGGCCTAAACATTGAGCTGATCTTTTACAACACAGCCTGCCGCTTTGGTCCGTTTTTTAATTGTCAGATGGAAACAATGTTGTATTTCGAGCAGCACATTTGTGACGATGACATCATTTAAAGTAAGACAAGCCGTCGTGTTAACGTTACTTTTGTTTTCATTACTTCTGGCTACAGTCTTCCAGAAACCATGGCCACACTTTTCTGGGCGTTGTTCGGTCTTCCTGATTTAGAAATTCTGGATTTGAAGGGCGTGTCCCACACGTTTACGGAGGGCGTGGGGACCGGACTCTATGCTGCTTATCACATCATAGCCATTGTGGTCCTCATGAACGTGTTGATTGCCATGATGAGCAACACGTATACGCGGATTGAGGTAGGTCCGAGTCTCAGAAAATAATATCAATTAACTACCGAATCGGAATTTACAAACTTTCGTAAACTAAGCACTGGGCATGAACTTGAATATGAAATCAACAGAGGGCGCTAGACTGAGTGGCACCAGTTGTTCAAATGAAGATGATATTTTACTGTTTACTCGTTCGTTACTTTTGGTCTTAAATCGTGCATCTTACCCGTTTTCATCGCCCCTTCATTGTTTCATTCGACAATTTGTTAACATAACGTAAAGTCATGTTTCAAACTGTGTTAAGTATTCTTATCCCTCACTGAAACTTATTACTTGGACTGTTAATTACAAAATTCAAATGTAGGAAGATGCAGAGATCCAGTGGAAGTTTTCGCGGTCCAAACTGTGGATGACGTATTTTGAGGGTCGCGGTACCATTCCACCTCCTTTCAACGTCGTCCCCGCGCCCAAAACGATTGGTTACATCTGTAAGTGGATATGGGACAGACTGCATGGCGCCCAGTCTCGGCAGGAGAAGAAGGTGATTTATTATCATAAAAGATGGCAAGGTTTAAACGTTTTACCAAGATCAGGGAATTGTCTTTTATTACGGCCAGGAAAATGTTTGCAAGCCATAGCTGAACTACAAAAAGGATACTAAGTCCAATTCAAAAGTTCTAAATATAAAAAAGTAAATAATTATCTTGATACTAATAATGTTCTCCTTTTCGTATCTCTTTCAGGAGCGAAACAAGGCTTTTATGGAGGAAAGAGAGAAGCAATATCGGGTAAGTTGGAAGTTCGCGGCAGTCAAGAAGCTACAGGAGACCATGCCGTTATTTGCGAGCATTGATGATGACAATGACATTTGTGACAATCTTGACGATGACAATGACAAAGACGGCAATGACGTTGATAGTAGTGCCATGACAACAGTTTTGATGACAACGGTGATGATCCATCATTTATCGTTATATGAGAATAAAATTGTTGTTATAGTGTGCCAGGATTATTTTGGGAAAGGCCATCCCTATTTGAATCAGTGTGACAGAAGGCCTGTGTTAAACTGTACTAAGTAAGATCCCAAAAACCTGAAGTCTGTCGGTGATATCTAGGTGAGGCACAGTACATGGATTTTGTGTTCGTTACAGGACATCATGGGCAAGTTGGTCAGACGGTACATCTTCGACGCCAAGCGTGACGACGAGGAAGGTAACCAGGAGCAATGGGTCAACCGCATCAAGCAAGACATCTCAGGCTTCAAGTACGAGATGTTCGAAGCCTTGTCCGGGATGGACTCCAAGATGCTAGACATGGAAAACCGGATAGCCAACGGTCCCACAGGACCCACTGTCGGCACCGAGATGTTCCAGAAGATGCATGAGATTGTCAAGAAGCCACTGTCCAGACCTGACAGCATGGAGTCCGTCAAATCGGGATGCTCTGAGATCTGCAAAGCCGCGTCTCAGGATCTACTGGACTCGCGGAACTCTGAGTTGCCTCCGCCTGTCTACGATACCGGGGAAATGGAGTCCCCTTCCGCTAAGAATAGGTACAAGCCCAAGTCACCCTCACTACCGGCAAATATTGCCAACTACATGTATCCTCCGGAGTGGGAACGATATGAACCCATTCGGTACATTGATGAGGATCCTGAAGTGCCATTATTGGGAAGTCCGCGGAACAGCATCAGCAGTCATAAGAAGCGGGGGAGTAGTAGGCGTAAACGCAGGCACAGCACCAGCCATCTGAACCACCTAGGTAGCATTTCACGCAATAATAACAAGGACGTTGTGGAAAACATGCTGGAGAGCACGACTAAGGTTTGACCCAGCCTCAATTCCAGCGGAATCGGTTCACAACTTGGGCTGTTGGTAAACGAATGATTCACAGACTGGAGTGGAGGCTACACTAAGGTCAGTGCCTCCTCATCACTAAGGATGCAATACCAGCGAGATGATTGTCATCTGAGGATTTTCTTAGTTGTTTCCCGCTGAACACTTATAGCAAAATATCGTTAAGCTATTTCCTCAACTTCCCGACTGGACAAGGAGTCTAGGACAGAGCAAGTTGAATTTCTAACACATTTATATCTTTATCGTCTTGCTCCATTAACAGCCGCAAAATTGTTATAGTAATCATACTTATCTAATATTTTAGCAGTTACTCATAAAATATTGCTATATTTGTTATCAAGTTGTTGGTCGTTAATAATATAATTTAATGTTATGTAACATGGGAATTATTAAATTAAGGTTTTACATTTTCGTTCGACAAAAATATCAGGTATTAAAAATAGATCATTTGTATATGAACGTGTAATACAAAAGACTACTCTATGTAATATTTTGAATTCGTGTAAATTGTTAAAGCCGCAATTTTTATTTCGTTACTAAACTTTTTAAAACGCGAAAGCAAATGTTGACTGTTGTTTATTAGAAAATGCAAATTGACACACCTGTTTTGGTACCATCATTAAGAAATTGTCATATCCACGATCAGCACGAACAGCGAAGTAACAGAGAGTAACAGAGAGTTTCTTGTGTTTTGACATTACATGTCAAAACACAAGACCATTGGGTTAAGTCAAAAACATTATGTAGCTGGTTAACAAGCAAGGTTGCAACATGAGCATTTGTATTTTGGTAATACGCATGGAATAAATATTGCGGACAGTCCCATCGGTTTGTATATAATTATCTAGTAATTCTAGATCTTTCAGAACTACTTTGATTTTGACACGTGGCACGGTACGCAAGGGGGAGTGTGCGTTTGTGACGATTGTAAGTGATTATATTACCATGCATTATGGACTAATTTGCAGATAAGTATACAACTAAACGGACATTCTGCATGTGTAACTATAGGTATTTTGACCTACAAATATCACGTCGTTTTTTTCCTGGATTTTAATAGTATAATTGTTGCCACTAACATTAAAGGGTCAATACTTTGCACTAGAAAAAGGTGTTTATTTAAATGCAAAAGTATTCATAAATCCCTAAGACAAAACAGCCATTCCTATTGGCCACGAGCATGTCACACGTGGTACAATGTGGCACGTCAAACGCATGATATAGACCTATATCGTGCTTCCACCATTTTAGTCATGTTCCCTGTATCCAATAACAGTACTGAATAATAATGTTTTGTGTAAAAAAAGGAACCAGACTATTTTCCCCTCCAGCCTCGCTTTGGTGACATTGATTTGAATGGGAATAAAATCAAATGGCTGCAACATGATAATGGTCTATACGCGCGCGGCAGACAAATTAATAGCCGCGTACTGAGCACCTTTGGACCCCACTTGTATACAAAATAAAGGAAAACATTTGAGTGGCAAAACTGAAACGTTTTAACGCTTTTGTAACGAGTTTTTAATAGAGGTATTTACAAAGGGGAGTGAAAGTGTGATAACGTCATCTTCGGCTTAAAACCATTGGCAGTGGCCACGCCCTACTCGATCATCGCACTTTCATTTCCTTAATGTTGTACACATGAATTATTTGTAGATGTAGGTTAACATTCATGTTGCTGGTATACATACTATACGGAAGTAACAAGAGTCCTTTGCAGTACTTTAACGGAGATAGGAATTTTGAGTGTTCCTGTCATTTTTATCGGGATACATATGTAGAAAGGTGTTTTGGAATTAGAGGTAGCTTTTTAGGAGATAGAGAGAGCGAGAGATGAATGAGTCATAACTCGGGATGGAGGTTGGAGCTAGGTTTTGTCGATTTACGAGCATGGTGTTGTGTAAAATGAGATCATTAATTTTTGAATAACACTCTTACTATATATTGGGGCAAAGTTGAGGATATACCACCTCTTTAAAATATTTTTTTGTTAATGTGTGTCTTCTGTATTGTAGTTAATGTTCAATTTTAAGCAATGTGGCATTTCTATCCTTTGATTCCGGCAAATCTAGAACTCAAATATGTACCGTTTTCCAGTTTACTTATTATTTAAACCTCACAAGATATGAAAACATTTTATGTCTAAATGTAATGCTGATTTGCCTTTATTTCATTCTAAAGAGAACAGTCCACAATTTGAAAATCCACCTTTGACATTGGCCTTGATTTTTATGTCAGTATACGACTTTGAATAATATCATGTAGCCCTCATTTATCTAAATAATTAATACTAGTTTTTCTTTACAATAATGTTGAAATGTGTTGTTATGTTTAACGCTGAACATTGTTTACTTGAAATACATGCTCAATGAATAGAAAAAGTGCAGTCAATTCTGGACAGATTTTGCAGTCCATTGTCACAAAAAAAATATAAGAGTTGAAAAAATGCAAGGTTTTCCCACTGGCGCTCTTATGGAGAGAAAGCTCCTAAATTGTGACGTAGCAATTTGTTCCGCAATGCACATTATTAACTTCCGTGAAATCCGCGTTTGTTACACATTTTTTAAATTCCCTACAGGCTTACACATATTAAAACATTTAAAAAAAAAACTATTCAACGACATTTTTCACATACCGACTTCATATTGCAATCTTCAAATTTTGAATTTCTTCGAAAATAAAAAAAAGGTGTGACGTGTCATAAACCAGATTCAGCAAGTGGGATGTCATAACAATTACATTCTTGTGTAATTATGTCTATTGTTTTGGAGTTGTGCGGTGACTCCAAGTCATTAAAAATCACTTCTTTCATCGGCGAGTATTTCTTCAAGACAAAGTTTGGATTGGATTCTACTGATACGGTTATGGTTTCTTTGAAATTGTATTTATTTGTAAATAGAATTAATACTATATATAGTCTTTTAAATTATTGTAATTGTGGTGTCTGGCAGGATAACCAGTGAAGTTTTGTGTGGAGTTGAAACGCCGCAGGCTCGGTTTATAAAGTGGAATTCCTTGGACATCTTGAGTCAATTTCAAGGCACTGTTCATGTTAAGTACAGGAATGTGCTAAACACGGAAAATATATGCTCACCATAAATTCATGTTATGCATATTTCTTTTTTGTTCAGCACATATAGGCTTCAAGCAATATTTTCTGCTCGACACTTCCATTAAATAAGACCAAGATTGCATACAGAAAACATTTCACATTTTTAAAGACACCATCTCTTGACCATTGAGACTCTCGATATTTGATCAACCAAAACACCTGCCAATGTAAAGCCTACCAAATTGTGATTATCAATTATTTGGAATTGTTTGGGATGGTATCACAAATTAAGATCTCTAAGAATTATTGAGACGGCTGGGGGCTGTGCTATTATGAAAACAATAGCACTGAGATAGTTCTTTGAAAAGCATGCATGCATGGCTTCGAAATCCATTCTAGGTAATTACCCACATGATACCCACATGATCTTTGTACTTGTGAATATGTTGTAGCTCTTGCTTTAACATTTAATTGTTATCCACAATGTATATGATTCTGATGTTAAAAATTAAAAATAATTAATATGAACATGTCTTTGCTCTTCTATACGAAACAAGTAATCAAAATATGACCTTCTTTTTCGATAATGGTTTCAGTTTCGGGGTAAGAGCAATTGAACACGATATAATACGGTTTATTGTAATGCTTATTATTGTATTAACATAACTATTAATAAAACTTATATGGACATGTATAACGCTTTGGAAACCGACTTTTGTTTCGGTTTATTTGTGTTTATTTCATTTATCCAATGACAGACATTATGTCTATCGCTTCTCCCTTAAAAAAAAATGGGCGAAGCGTGTTAATAACGAAGAACTGGGACATTTATGCTATCTCTTTCAGTTTTCGCGAGAGGACCGACATGACACATTTACGTATTCAAAAAATTTTAATCAAATCTTGCATTTGGTAAAAATAAAAAAGAGCATTAATCTTAGGATTACTTTTCATTAGATAGATGATTCCCAAAAGATCGATCAATCACAGACACATTAATTTCCTCTGAATGGCAAAAATGAAAACGAATACAAGTATTAGTTGAGATATAATGGCCAGTAGAGGTGGCAAAAACTAGAAAGCATAGCTTGTATCATACAAAAACAGACGAATTATTAAAGAGAAAAAATAATTATATTTCTAAGCATAAAATAAAGTTATGGGTGATGGGCTACGAGTAATGGGATAGATTATAAAGATAAAAGTTTCTATCCTTTATAGATCATAGATTAAAAAATAAAGTATTAAGGCTTGGTAAATTAAATTACTGACCTTCAATTCGAAATTCGATTATTTACAATCATTATATGTATCGAGATCGGGAAAAGTTCAGCATTTGAATATTAAAATGAAAAATGCTTTATTTAATTCAGAATCCCAAGATATGGCTCCACTATGCAGGTAGCCTGACAATTTGTTAATTTCACTCTTTCTCCCTGTATTTTCCCTGATTCTGCGGGGTGAGGGTGTCATTGCAAATTTATAATTAATATGGCTGACCGACAGAGGTAACTAACGGTGCGACTATTTAGCGCCCTCTGTTGAAATGCGAAGAATTTAGAAGATGAATGACCGGAAGGCACAGTCGAGTAGTAGTTTGGAAGGAATTAAAAGCAAAATTGCCTATTGAATTACATGTACAAACATAATTCCGTTCAGCGGGTATGCGGGAGATGCATATTACGGTAGTGGGGATCATATAGGAGGGGTTAATGCCGTGATATAGGGCTAGAACCCCTACAGGTACATTGCACACTTAAAGAAACTCGACCAAAAAGCATGTACTTACCCAGTTCAGAAAAGCTGGAATTCCACTTCCCTCCAGCATGGAGCTATAAACACAAGTATGATGTGCAGCATTCATGTCCATTTATTTACGTAAGGCCGTTTGTTCATGTCACTGAAAAACATTCCGGCATAGCAAGGAAATTTCATTGTGCATTGTCCAGAAGTCTTACTTCGTATCACATGCACACACAGTGCGCGACGTCCTGTTGGCAGAGTGACGACACTTTGGTTCCTGTTGTAACATCTTATTCCAACAGTTTTTAAAAGTCACAGGAAACACGAAATATCCACGGAATTCGGGTATGTACCGTAGGCCTACATGTAACAATACACGTCATTATCCCGTAAGTAGAATTTCTCTGTGTTCTACTGAAACGGCAAAACACGTGTCACAAGTCCGCCGCCATTATTCTGTGAAGACTACCAACAAAAGCGCTACTAAGAAGAAATTACCTTACACACGGTTACAATTACAGGTACAAGTGTTTCCCGCCAAACGGAAGAACAATACGCATGCAAATTATTTTTCTCATGTTGAAAGGTCAAACCACGTGCGAAGTACCACGTTCGGCTTTTGCCAACGACGATACAAGAACCACTCTGATTGGCTAAGAGTTCTGACTATTCCATTAAATGGCGGGGCGGATATTAAGGAACGTGAAAGTTTGAAAGAGGGAAGTAAGCTGTCAAATTTGAACAATGGAAAATCAAGCCAATCCACAAATAACACTATTGACAGTACAGTTTAAAACGAAAAAAAGCTATTTCATTTGGCCATCCCCGACTGTACTGAAACATTTTTGTGTTTACTTCATTTTTCACTACCCCCTAAAATAAATGTCACCGTCCAATCAGCTCTTTTTGTTTTCTGAGTTTTTCTAAGGGTATCCGTGTAGTTGCATGAATTATCGCTCGTTTTGGAAAGTTGGTTAATATTTCTGCATTTATACCATGCCCCTTATAATTATTCAGGTCGTGTGTACATTTTAATAAAGTGCCAATGTCGATCCGTTTTAATTTCGTCGCGAAACAAACGTCTCCGCAAGTCATAAAATAAACAAACCCTGAAGCCTTACCACGCACGAAAAGCAGGTGCCACACGAGCGACTCCCATGGCGAACAAAGGAATATTTGGGCTATCGATGAGGACAGAGCAAATTCTCAAAACGGCTGGAAAATTTCACGGTAAACCGTCTTGGATCACGAAGGAATCAAAATACAACACGGTGTCATGGAACTACAAATCCTCAAGTGATCCCTCGGCAAAATTACCAAGTTTCTATTGATGTGCAGCATCAAAAACAATTCCATACCCTTTGCCCTTTAGAAATCTTTATCTGAAAAGCTTGAGAAAAAAAAGAGAAGCATGATTGTATTCACGAAGAAAATACATTCTCCAATTGTAACCCTAACCTTTCCAAATCCTCCCAAATCCTCTTTGCAAAATGGGGGATTTTGCAGGATTGAGGCTACAGGGCAAAAAGTGTGTGGCTGATTTTGGAGGATGCACTGTGTCAAGGTCTTTAGGCCGGACCTTGTGTTGTTTAACCGTGCATAAATGTATGCCGATATTGTACTTGAAATCCTCCACACTGCTCCAGGATGTCACTGGCTCTGCCTCAACATACTGACAGTGATTGCCGGAGGATTTTGCAGGATTGAGGCAGTGGTCGCCCCTCCAAAGACCACATTCTAGAAATAACGGAGGATTTTGCAGGACTGAGGCTGTATGCAATTTTTACACGGAGGCAGTTGGAGGATTTTGCAGGATTGAGGTTACATCCTAGCAAAAATACCGATAGGGTTAAACAAGGTAAACCTGAATGAGTAGTCCGATGACAATTTGTATTTTAGCATACTCAGCCCTGTACCCTCAAGTGCATTGTCCAAGGACCCAACAGACAATTTGCAATTCTTGATTTTCTACAGTGGTGAAGGTGGGAGGAGGTCAAGTGCTATTTTCCAACACAAAACTCCAAGTTTTGCAAACAATCAACCAGGGGTAGCCATCTTCAATTTCAAACGACCGCCAGCGTAATTTTTATTCCTAGGAGGGTTAGGGGCAATGTCATGAATAATTCATGTTTATCCATGAGAACGGACAATGACATCAACAGCATCGTTGTTAGTTACTCAACTAGTTACAATACATTAAAGCATTTTAAAGAACGGTTGTCGGCGAGCTACCACACAGTAGCCTAGTGGATAGCGAGATGAGCTATGGATACAAAGATCCCTGGTTCAAATCCACGTCGTGGCTGCTCATTTTCATCAGCTATTTTTCTTCTCCAAATTTATCACTGAGATAATTTTAAATTAAGGGGAAAATAGAACGAGAACCTAAGTCTTGCAATGATTCAAAGGAAAAACTAAATTATTCATGACATTGCCCCTAACCCTCCTAGGAAAAAAAATTACGCCGACCGCCATCCCTGACCAAGTTCATGGGCCTACATGTAATTACAATTTGAAAAAACAAGACTCCGTTGACAAAAACAAAAGTGTTACCCCACTGATTTTATAATCCTCCATTCACAGATACAGTATTAGATACATTCCGTACCGTAATGTGGACAAAACAGAGCTGATGGCATTCCTGTGAATATATACATAATACATGTACACAACATCATGTACATACTTATCTCTACTTGTCTGCATATTTTGTTCCAAATTGATTAACATAAAACATTCCTATTGTGTTGCTATATATAAGCGGGAAAAATATTTGCAGCACAAAAGTCAAGACACAATTATGAGGCCACTAATTAGGTTGTTTTTTTTTTTACACTTTATCCTTATACATGTATTTTGGCAGATAGCAATATATACAGCATGTTTCAACTTTTTTATTATACGGAAGCGGGTAATCTTGGCCTACTGATACTTGGCAAACCTTAATGTGTGTACCTTCTATCTCGTTGTTACTATCTTTCTGGTATTGAAGATATCATAATACATGTATATCTTATACTATAATTAACAACATAGTTCTCTTTGATTTAGTCACATCACTATGGTATTTTCTCACTAGAGAATGTCGCAGAATTAGCCATTTCTTGAGTCATCCTTTTAAGTGGTTAAACTCATTTTTTTGTTAAATGGACGAATACTTTTCTGAGTTGTCACATACAATTTGGCATTTACCTTGCTAATTCAGATCAAGCTACACAATAATGATGACTCTTTATCCACCTGTAAATATATCCCCCAATAGTCAAACTTATTAAAATATTACAATTTGTTGTTTATTCCCGTTTTTAAGCATTTTTCTGCATAGAAGGGGATATGCCAAAATTGGTCGCTTTCTACACTTTGAGCACTTCAAATATGCAAATTTTTTAAATGACATCATCACTTTCCACCAATCAAAGCTTGCCAAGCACAGCTATAGTAACCATTACGTTTCTACACTCAGATCCACTGATCAAGTATTACATAAACCTCATCACTAAATCTGTCTAAATACACAACAGAAAAAAAATTCTATTATTCATTTCAATAAAAGCCAAGAAAAAAAAATCACCTTTCCAAAAAAAAAAGTCCATATTTCACACGTCACTATATTTCAGAGCACTTTTCCCTTAGTCGAATAAACACCGACTAACAGAACTATACCAGCCTTCAAAAGTGTACCTAGAACTACTGTGAATGCACAGGTTACAAATGGCTGTGTCGTGACTGCGAATATTAAGAGAGCTACAATTCCTGTTAAAACTATCACAGTCATAGTTCTAGCTTGTAAAATATCTAAATCAATTTGGATATCAAAGAAATATCACTTTATACATAATATTACAATCACTTGTTAAACATTATTTCAAACAAGTTTATAGAAAGTTTACCAACCCCAGATATTGTGTTTTAAGAACATTTATAATAACACTACAATGTTTGGAGCCATAGAGGCTACCGAGCAATACTAGGGAATTTTGGAGAGAAGTGGTTTTTGAATGTATGGTTTTGCAAAACAATAAAATTGGAGACAATTGGCAACTGTCGTTTGTATCGCATTACTGTGAATTGATAGGTAGCTATTAATACATCGGTGAGACGTCTAATTAATCATGCAGAAAAATCCATTTGTGTTAGATAGTCCATAGAGTAATTCTCCAGTATTCCATCGACATGGGTTTCACAATAAAATATTTAATACAGTGTGCTCACAGCGATACATGACAGAGAACGATTTACACTGCTTAAAACAATATGATGAAGAATCTGCTTAGTAATTTCCATTAAATGTATGATGATGATCTGACAGCTTCTGGTCTTTGTCTGGCACTAAGCATCCTAACTGGATGTAGTACCAAGCTTTGCATGTTGCTAGCTTGTTCTGGCATTCGTGGTTTTCAACCAGTCATCCACAAATAAATTGGAATGAACTCGATGTCCAAACTGACAGCGGTGGGATACAACTCAATTATTTGTATACAAATCAATCGTTTATACAGGGCAAGCAAGCTATTTCATTGTCTGATTCCAACGTGATTTAAAAAATATCATTACACAAAAGAAAAAAAATCTGCTGACTTTGACAGTTTGTATCCACCTTTCTTGTTTGTGAAAGTAAAATACGTGATACACTCCATGTACAGCAACCTTAACCATTCACCATTGCTTAATTTGAAACAATTTTTGGAAATTGTTTCAACTTAAACTGAGGGGCATTTTACATGTAAGTTCTTAAACAAAATGCAAAACAGAATAAAAAGCAACAATTCATTTCCTAAAAAGATCAAGATAAAAATAACACGAGCGTCACAAATTTAGAAATGTTCCTAAATTCTCCAGTGTATGGACTACACAAAACTTGCATTTGTTGGTTTCAATAAAACAAAATATTGTTGCTTACAGATACACTCATTGTTTAGTCTGCATTAATCCTTCAAACATACTCTGATGGTTTTGTTTGGCTAATCAAAATGCTTTTCAATGTATTTATTCTCAACTCCTTGTGTATATCAATACAAGCAGACCACGACAAACAAACTATTAACAACTTTGAGTCATTATCTAATATATTCTCTAGTGGTACAACTACGTACCACAAGCATGAACACAACAAGAACAAAGTATTTCCAAAACTACTTTGTGAAAGAAAAAAAAAAAATCAACCCCAATCGCCCTGTTCGAAAATTCGCCCTGTCGAAAAATCGGTAATGAAACACAAATATGTCTTTTTGGTGAAAAAAATGGGTGAGGCTTCACCCAGTCTGCAAAAATAGTCAAGAGTTGGGAAAAGTCCACTCCAACAGCCATGGACAAACTTAAAAGCACAAGTGTAAAAAAAAAAATCACAATTTACAACAAACATGATTATTTTTTTGTATACGTCTGACGAGTGTAAACAACCTTTTGGTGATTAGACACATTATGTTGAGCAGGAAACACCGTGTAGAGCCAAATGTGTAAACAAACAAAAAAAAGTTAACCCTTTTTAAAGCTTGGACAATGGCTACATTTCTGACGATTTGGGTATCCTAAAACTTTAACTGAAAGATAAGCGGATGCGTCCAAGAAAAGTTCCCCTGTTTAACCCATACGCAACACCATGTTAACTTTAATTACGTTATCATTGCAAAGACTATACATACAATTTCTTGTTGGGTATTCTCCTTGTAGATGCCCACCAGTAGAATAACAAACATTGACATTCATGAATATCTTCGACAGTTAAACTTCCATTACGCATGGGACACAGCGTGTGCAATTCTTGGACTTGCCCTGGCCACATAATCATAGCAATGTGGGAACAGGATAACCTACATTCTTTAAGTCAAGACTTAGAAAACAAAAATCTGTTGTATTTCTTAACTTTTCACAATCCAAATTTGTCAATGAGGAGTAATTTAAAGAAATGGCAATTTTTGTGTTTTAATGTCTAGGATTTTACCACTAAGTTGGGCTCGGGTAAAAATAGAAAGTTTAATTTCATCAATGTTATCCCGCCTTTAGTTATAGTCTAAAGGATAAATTTACACATGCATGCCAACTTGAATTATCTACAACCGGGGTTCATTGCAGACTTTGTAATTTAGATGAGCCTATTTTTGTTCAGCCATGCAGTAACATACTAAATAGGTTAAATATCAAGTAAAAATAACAGTTATACATACAACATGTTTCACTTTATTTTAATAGTGATGACTATCTACATGTTTATTTTTAAAATTTTAGTTTTATTTTTGAAAACTGTCCTTTTCAAATTCTAGTTTCTTTCTTAAAGACAAAATCACATGATAGCAGCATCCACCAATGACAACAAAGTTCTGAGTCACATGACTAGCAAACTGATGGCAGGTTGGTCAAACCACTGTTTAGAATATATTCAGCGCCTGTGGTATTTGAGGTAGCATCGATTATGAGGGATGCACTTGCAGAACAAGTTCACAGCAACCAAAGCATCTCCTTGTCGAAACCCACTAGGAATATTTAGTCTTTCAAAGCAGTTTTCAGTTGATATTCATTGTTGGTGAATTTGACAGACGGTTCCATATCTGTCCGTCTGTTCTTGCTGCAACTAACCATTGATTAACCTTAACCTTTCCAAATCCTCCAAAATCTTCTTTACTGGATTCTGCGGGATTCATCAGGATTGAGGCTATATGGCAAAAAGTGTGCGGCTGATTTTGGAGGATGCACTGTGTCAAGGTCTTAGGCCGGACCATGTGTTGTTTAGGACTAGATTATACTTAAAATCCTCCGCACTGCTCCAGGATGTCACTGGCTCTGCCTCAACATATTGACAGTGATTGCTGGAGGATTTTGCAGGATTGAGGCAGTGGTCACCCCTCCAAGGACCACATTCAAGAAATAACGGATGGTTTTGGAGGATTGAGGCTGTATGCAATTTGTACATGGAGGCAGTTGGAGGATTTTGCAGGATTGAGGTTGCAACCTTGCAAAAATGCCTGGGGAGTTAGGGTTAAAAGACAGTTCAATCATTCTTTTTTTCTGCATATTCTCCACATTAAATTTTCACTGCTTCGACTTTGGCAAAATTAAACATTTGGGGATTCAGAAACAATCAAGCTGTAAAATTCAATTCAGATTTTAAAATAGAGGCTTGGATAACATTTTATGTTTAGTTTAAAGTTGAACATGGAAAATATTTCAACTTCTAAAATTGGGAACCTTTTGAATTGAGCATTATTTTAAGAGTGACTCTGTACGAAGTAACTCCTCAAGCCATGCTGTGTAATTGAAAAGCAAATCCACACTTTCTGTTACAAAAAAAACCAATGATCCATGGACTAGAACACAAAGTTGATTTCATTACGTTATTCAAAGCATGCTTCTATATAGAATCTAGGAAAAGTAACTGAATTCAAGCATCTAACGAAAGTAATTTCACCGAATATTTTGAAACATGAATTGGGTTAGCCTATGTACAATTTCACAAATTATGCACAAGTAGGGATTTAAAACATGATCCTTTGTGGGTGAATTCTTCATTGACAAAAAAAGTTATGTCACATTTCTCAAAGCCCAGCTGTCAAAATGCTGTTAGGAGTCTCCGAATTTGAACAGTACAACACATGTGGATATTTCTAATATTTTACAAGTGTGGAAATAGTGTAATTGCTGTGAGAGTGAGAATATGTGCATAAGAGGGCCCTACTTGTGTTGCAAAAAAAATTCCCAAAGTACCTAGACAAATTTCCTCCTTTTACAGATTGTATTCTATATTGCATCTGTGTACCACAAATCACATTTTTTTGTTGTTGTTTTTTCTTTCCAGACATCAACAAAACAAACAATTAAACAAACAAACAAACCACCACAGACTGTTCGGATACAAAGCTTGGTCTTCCCGTCAGCCAATGGGCTCAGCTGTTGCTAGGGGCTTCCAGCATTTCCATGAGAAACGTGTCGATGGGCGTGTCCCCGATCAGCTTGAAGAAGAAGAGGTGTTCCAGACATTTGAGGCCGATGGAGCGTAGCGCCGGCAGACGCAGCAGCAGCTTAGCAAAGCGGCCCGGTTCGTCTGGATACTGCATCCGACAGTATTCCTCCAAGGAGGCATAGACTTTCTCCCTCAGCTCCTCCACCTTCTGCACTGAGTTCAGGTTCTTCGCATCTGTTCAACACAATTGGAAAAGACATCAGCACCTGTCAGCCACCTTAGTCTTTAATAATAATTAATAATAATTGTGCTCATCTCACGCTTTCCATCGTATGAAAGATCTCAAAGCGCTTTACAATTATTCCCCCGTTCATCAGGCCATGGGACCACGCGGCAGCCGATATCAGCGCTCAATCGGTCCTCGACCCTCACAGGTACCCATTTATACTCCTGGGTGGAGAGAGGCAATTGAAGTTAAGTGTCTTGTCCAAGGGCACAAACAGCATGTTCCTGGTACGATTCGAACCCACGCATCTTGGCACATGAGTCAAACACCATAACCACTTGACCATGGCGTTATTTGACGGTCCTCAAACTTATCACCTGACCTTTTCATATCTTTTCATAAGTTGAGACCACTGTTAGCAAATCCAAAGTAGCATTCACTACAGGCTGATCAACACATCAAAAGCACAAGCTTCTCACAACCTCTTGAACTAGAAGATTACAGTGACCAATGGGAAGATTGGTTCAAGTCATGCTGGGACACCCATCGGCACAAAATAAGGATAATATCCAAATGTCATATATATACCCAATAAAACAAAGGCATAGTTTGAATTCTTTCCATTTGATTTTGACAGTAAAGCTCAGGGAGATGGATAAAGCCAAACAAGAAGCTGCAAAAAAATGCCAATGTTTATGGATTATGATTCCATTCCTTTTACCTCCAATGTCTTTTCATTTTTTTTTAAACATTGAAATTCTACTGCTGAATACAGGCATGTAACTGAGAATTGAGAAAAAAAACGAGGAAATTCCAAACCACACAAGACTTAATACAGTGTTTTTCAATTTGTAAAGGCATTCGTGAGAAGTAAAAAATGAGGAAATCAGCAGATCCAAGGAAAAGTTGCATGCCTGTGAATAGGAAACAGCGGCCCGTTCTGTTTACTCGAATTTCCATTGGATTCCAAGCTTCATGTATAGTAAAATCGGCTCTACCTTCCTGGAAGTCACCCGAATTCTCATGGAAGGATATGAGTAGGTCCAGATTAAAGGGTCCATTTAATGAATTTGTTTTTAAATGCAATCCTTGAAATGTACCTTTGTGTTCCATTAAACGTTACTTTTGATCTTCATATTGCAATTTTAAGCGCGTTTCGGTGCCCTTTTCAGGTTTCATGCTAATAAAAATTTCCATATTCATGAGCAAAACTGTGATGTCATTCAAGGCAGAAACTTCAGGTTCAGCATAAAAAGTCACCAGAATTTTAGGGCTTTGCTGAGGTTATTTTTTCTGCTTTCGGTGATTTATTCTTGATTCGGTTTATGACCGTAAGGAAATGAGAAACTTTATGTACGAATGTTTTCAACATACAGAATTTTGGATATACAATTTGAAGAGAAAAACCTGAATTCGAAGAGTGTGTTCCAAAAAGTGACATCACAGCAACAGCACCCTTAGTTGTCAGGAAAAGCATGAAACATTTAAGTTTTAAAAAGTGCAAACTTTTTTTTCACCAAAAAGGGGCGCGTCATAGTTTTTATACATTTTCAGAGGACTGGATATTTGCTACAAATATGCCCCAGGGTAAAATTCACTTCACGGACCCTGTGACTAACCTGGATTGAAGAGGACAATAGCCCTGAGGCAGCCCAGTTCCGTCTTGTCCATCTTCATCTCTCTCATCTTAGCCACAAGCTCCGTCAGTACCCGGTCAAAGATGGTGCCCACGCCTGCGTGATGGGCGGAGTTCCGATGCACATGCAGACCAGTGGCCAGGAGAATGCCGTCCTTGACGGCAATTGAACGGTGCGAGAACGCCGCGATCAGTAACTCATTCCAGCCTGCAGAAAAAAGGGGTACAGAGATTTACTTGTCAAATGCAGTGACTCCATTGTCAGATTCAAGCCCCAGTGATCACATTTTTCCTCTGATAAAAGGCTCTGTCAATATCTAGGAATCTCATTAAGTTTTAAACTTTTGGCTCCAATGCATGTGCCAGTGTTGTAGTCGAGTCCTTCACAAGTCCTTTTACAAGTCCAGTCACAAGTCCAGTCACAAGTCCAGTCACAAGTCCAGTCACAAGTCCAGTCACAAGTCCAGTCACAAGTCCAGTCACAAGTCCAGTCACAAGTCCAGTCACAAGTCCAGTCACAAGTCCAGTCACAAGTCCAGTCACAAGTCCAGTCACAAGTCCTTTCACAAGTCCAGTCACAAGTCCAGTCACAAGTTCAGTCACAAGTCCAGTCACAAGTTCTTTCATAAGTCCAGTCACAAGTCCAGTCACAAGTTCTTTCATAAGTCCAGTCCCAAGTCCAGTCACAAGTCCTTGGTCAACTCACAAGCTATTCTAAGGAACTGTGCCAAAGACATTCCTTTGTCATTGTTAATCTCTGGTTACTTGTGACTGGACTTGTGAATTGACTTGTGATATTAATTGTAAACGAGCCTTGTGATATGTTTGTGACTCATCGCAAGTAGCATGGGAAAGATACCGATTCCCTTCTGTATTCAGTATGTTTGCGTGCTTAGAACTTTTAAAACAAACTCTGACGGCATGCTTACCAGCTCTGAGGAGTGTGACCTGATCGTCCAGAGGTAGTTCTGTGAAGTGCGGGATTCGCTTGGCCCATTCCACCAACGTAAAGAGCTGCTTGTCCGCTGCCTGGCAAATGTTGGTAACAGGGTCATGCTGTTCAAGTGTGTGAGGAAGAGTTTGATGATGAGAATGAGAATGACCAATGTCTCACACAGGTGAACACAGAGATGAGAACAAGAATGAAACATGGAATGTTCTAGCATCTTAGACATCCAGTCACAAAGACATTGGTTTTATTTGCCAGCTTGACAGAGAGAACCAAAACAGCTGGAGGGAATTTGGGACAGGTTGTAAAAACATTTTCAGATTTCAAAGTGAGTTCAAGCAAGGGTAACTGAACACCCAAATTTGCTTGTGGTAAAAGCATTCAACGTGAGGCTCGATGGGCTGATTTTTTGTGTTGGCCAAGAAGTCTTGGGCTCTCAAGTTCTGCCCGTGAGCGTCTTTTTCCTTGATACTTTTGGAAAGAGTGTACAGCAAACTAAGCACATGTACATATTCTGTATACACTTTGCCCATGCAAAGGCCTTGTAAATGAAATCTACAACTCTAATATGCAAATTACGTAAGTACTGTTCATTAAATTTGAATGGTTTAAGAGTTCCCTCCAACAAAGTCCTCTCTGTCACACCAGCTTACCGGAAACACAACTTTGGATTTCTTTGGCCTTACTAACTCACCGGTGTGTCGACATATGTGTCTGTGTTGGGTTCCACAGCCAGTTCAGCCTCCAGCACTTTCTCTACCGGCATGTCGTTGTTGACGGAGCTAGTGCTCTCAACCTCCCCTTCCCCCTGGCACTTCTCCTTCCGTTGTCGCTCCTCTTGAACAGCTGCAAGACACACAGCTCCGAGAAATGAACACAGAGTGACGCTTTGAAATACATAACACGGTGGCTGGTGTGTGCATGAATGTGTGTGAATGTTATGTATGTGTTCATGAGGTGGGAGTCGAGGAACTAGACCGTAATGGCCTCGGTTTAGAAAAAAAAGGAAATTGACTCCGGGGGCCAATCTCATGGAGTTGCGTAACAGAAATTTGTTTTCAGCAAAAACAGGTCACCAGCCAAGATGTCATGCAATTTGTATTGACAGTGACTGGTGCTCAGTTCTGATTTTACTACGTACGTAGTTTAAAGATTTGCTCAGCGATACTTTCTAATGGCATCTCCTTGAAATTGACACCAGAAGTCTTGTACATGTTACAGGGTGGGTCCTACCCCCCCCCCCCAAAAAAGTTTATGCTTTTTCGGACGCAGATTTCTCAATATTGGGGAGACATGTTGAAATTGTTTTAAGATCTTAAACTTCAAGATCTTGGTGTTATATGATGAAAATGGCGTTGAAAATAAAGCTTAAATTAAGAAATGGCGGCTATTTACAGAAAACTGGTCCAAAACCAGTTTGTCCACATGTAGGTCTACGATTATGAGAGACGGTCAAAACAACTGCAATGCATGCACAAAGACCTGCAATAACGATGACCATATCTCATACACACTTGTGGAAACACACACTTTGTTTCTGTATATGGCCGGCATTTCTTAATTTACGCTTTATTAGTTTATTTTCAACATATGTATGCATCACCAAGATCTTGTACCGAGTAGTTTAGGAATACCGGTATCTTAACAAAATCTCAACTTGTCTCCCCAATTTTGAGAAATCTGTGTCTGAAAAACTGTACAGTTTTTTTTTGGAACACCCTGTAGTTCGGTGAAGCTGGCATGCCAGCTGTGAGCTACATGTACACGTACAGTTGTATGTACCAGTAGCACACAGTTGTGTAACAATAAGCATATGAATAATGAAAGGTTTGCGGAAATACCATGTGCGAATAATTTCTCAACTAAGAGAATGGTTCTGAAAAGAACCAGAGGTATAAACTCGACGTTCCGGTCAGTATGCTCTGACCGTCTTCAGGAGACGGTCAGAGCTACTCTCCTGAAGACGGTCAGAGCATACTGACCGGAACGTCGAGTTTATACCTCTGGTTCTTTTCAGAACCATTCTCTTAGTTGAGAAATTATTCGCACATGGTATTTCCGCAAACCTTTCATTATTTAGTATCTCCACCATGCAAAGCCTCAAATCTTACTTAATAAGCATATGCCAATATCAAATGTATTGTAACTGCAGCATGCTTTCCTGTACACTGTCGTTCTGTACAGAGTTGTAGTGAGTCAGTCATAAGTCATCACAAGTCAATCACAAGTCATCTAGTCCCTAGTCAACTCACAAGCTATTGAAACAAAATGGTACTTCTGACCTGACTAGTGAATTCGGGCGATTCACAATGCAGTGCGCCACCAAGAGTCCAAGAGTTAGCCACCAAGAGTTCATTTTTCCCAGTGTATTGTGGGAGATGGTCAACAAATTCGCAGCGCGGGACATTTGAAATTGTTCGTTTTTCCAGTCAGTAGTTTCGTAAAGGTTTGCTTCGAGTATCTGTTTGCCCTTTTGTTTTCTTTTTATCAATGTGGTGTTTTTTGTGAGGCGGCAGAACGCTACGCCCCAATCTATAACAAATTAGCTCAAGTTGTCTACTGACACTCATTCAAATGTTTTGTCGACCGTAAACTAGAAAAATGGACTCTCCATGGCAAACTCTTGGTGGCGCATTGCATTGTGAATTGCCCGAATTGACTTGCGATTGACTCAATTACAACTCAATTAGCACATGCGTACACCGTAAGAACCCAGTGATAAGCGCCTGAAATCAATTGGTAATAGTTTTTCTTGTAAAAAGGCTTGCTACCCACCTGCCCAAAATTTCTGCCTAGCAATGGAATCTAAATAGTTCCACTTTGACCATCTTTTCTCACATCCTTTTTTTAATACGACAATCCCAACACCATCAGTGTCAATGGTCCAAAAATCCTGTGACATTCCTTTTGAATTTTGCACAATGCTGACTAGACAATGCCAGAGGTACCGGTAAGATTTTTCACTCTCAACAATTATTAAACCAAATCACATCAAAAACGCTTGCCCTATAAACCATCAAAAGGGGTTATTATCTGACAAGACGTGATACATGTTTTACATGTACCGGTACATGTAAGTAATTTGAGCATGTACAGAGCACGACACCTGAAAAACATCAAGACTTATTCAACATTAAGTATATTTGCAATTTTTTCACACATACACAGCCTGGGCAGATTGTAGCTTTCAGGGGATGAGTCTACGGTGTGCCTTTGGCATGCCCTCCTAGGGAAGGTCCTCCCCCCCCCCCCCCCACGGAAAATCAAAAACGTCTACACTGCTTTCTCCTACATTCTATTGACCAATAATCATAATGTTAGGAAGTTTAGCACCATTTTACTAGTATCATAACATTAGTCAGTGGCTGCACACCCCCTCCACCCCCCCCCCCCTAACACACACCTAGATTGGCAACTGCATTTAAGTGTAAAAACTTTGTTGAAATTCCATGGAAGCAATTAGGTCTTTCCTTTAGGGGGGGGGGGGAAGGAATCTGACAAAACAGTTCAAAGGACGTGTGGTACAAATGCGACTTTGCAGACTTTCTGACACAATAACTACGTCAAGGGTTTGGTTCTTCGTTTTTCACCCCCTCCCCCCCCCCCCAAAAAAAAAATTAGATTTCCTCTGCCGACGACGTACCGGAAGTGTTCTACCCAGGGAGCTGAACACCTGTAGGAAATTCACCCAGATTTGCTTTTTTAATGCTCTCGGGATTTTTTTTTCAGATGTCCACAATTTTTCTTACCGGTGTTTAAGGAAAGATCTGTCACAAATAGGATAGCGGTTCCAAAGGGGATGCTATGAATTTAAACCCTTTGACAAAAGCAAGGTGTATCCGCGTCACATTTTAAATCAAGAGATGAATGGAAAAGATTACATGTATATCCACACACAAAAAAAGGTTCAGAGCTGTTTTGGTGAAAATGAGGATAATCTCTCAGAAGTTTGATAACGAGCCTATTGGACCACAAGTAAGACAAGTCAATTGAAAACTGTTGTGTTTTGGTAAAGCCATGAAACGGCAAAACACACATTTGAAGAACTATATTTTTTTCAGCAGTTTTATGAATGCATTTAATTGTTTCAAAAAAAGTTGCAGTGCACTCTGAAGAATCACAAGGTTTTTTTCTAATTTCAGGGACACTTGCATAATTTTGAAAGGAAATGGAGCAATTGGCCAATAGATTGATGCTAATTATTTAGAACAAGTGAACATGAATATTGCGGACATCTGGGAAAAAAATGCATTTAAAGTATTCATAATCTTGCATGTGAACATGTACATGTATGACCGGGTAAATTATTCAAGAACGCCTGACGTGAATATGTACAGCAGATGTCAAACTACATGGCAGATGGCACAACGTGGCCAGATGCCTACAATGTGTTCAAAATCTGCTGGGAGTGTCTTCTGACTGCTGAATGTGCACTGAGATCGAACACATCTAGACAAAATATTTACGTGTATGTACATGTACGTGCCTCATACAGTGTGTCAATGTCCTACTGAACGACCAACTACGTGCACACATACGTGATTCAATAAAACTTCCCTTAAATTGGGTTTCACCCCAGCATTATCAGCCAGAGAATAAAATTTAGAGAACATGAATGCACAGCGCAAGAACTGCAATGACTAAATATAGTGCCAGAAAATTAAATAAGACCGATAACCAATCGAAAATATATCACAACAACAAAACACATTTCAACTTTCCATGTACAAGTACTAAAACATGACTGTAAGAAGGGTACAACGTACTTGACCTTGAGAAAGAGATTTTTAATAATACAGAAGAGAAAGGAGGCCTCTGTGGCTACATTTTTCATTCAAACGCTCTTAAAGGTCCTTTATGTCGCCCAAGATGTTTCCCAACGGGACTCTACTGATGAGCTTATGACATGATTCTCCCATGTTGGATGGTAAATATGCCTTTAAAGCATTCTGTCATGATTGTGGGTCTCTTCAATATTTTGACTGATAACCTTTCACAATGCACCACTCTGCGTGTTGTCACAATAGACGTCCGGACAGACATCAATATGTGACCCGCTCTGCAAAAATGAGTCTGTTGTGGCAAAACTGACATTTTGAGTTCACTACATTAATAAAATGGGAATGAAATAAGCTTTCATTTGATATATCAGGGACCTCTCTAGGATATTTGGTTGCATTGTTGTGCTTGTTTAATTCTGTCAAGGTTTTGAAAAGCTAGAAAGGTCTCAATGGAGAAAAAAAGGTTTGAAAAATGACAAATACACTGTAACTAACCAAGAAAAGCACCAACAATCACAATTTTGTTAGTCTTTTTCTTACAATATTTAAATTTCTGCGTAAGATATTTGAACTAAAACTATCAAACAACCAAAATAAAACAAAAACAAAAAGTCCAAATTATAAGCAAATGTTTACTGTTTCCATTTAAAAGTGGCAAAAGCTTGAATTCAAATTATGCGACATCAGACTCATTTTTGCAGAGCGGGTCACATATTTAAAATTGAACAGTCCTAAATGCCAGCCAGCCAACGTCACCGATTCATTCATGTTACACCATGACTGATGGCAATAAATATCCGTGGGGTGCCTGCATAATGTGAATCGCCCAGAAGACGGATTCTGAATGAATAGGACAGTAGAAACTGGGGTATTGGGACAAACATGCATGGGAGGTATTGTGCCTTCAGGACACAAGAGCTGATGATAATGACGGCGATGATACGATTTTTGGAGCATGGATGATGTCTCTTGGTAAAAAAAAAAAAGAATTCAGAAAAAAATAAACTGCAGGCCTTCTAATGGTGTCTTTTGTATAATATATTTTGAGATCATTACATTTTATGATTGTGCTAATAATTTTTTTTATGGCCGAACATAAAAAATAATTTGTATTTTTCATATGTTACTGATATCACAAACGCAGTCAATGACATTCCTGATGGACTGTAGGAGTTTAAAGGTACCGGTAATATACAACATTTGCTTTAGCTGTAATTTTCAGAAATGGATGGGTTTGGGGTTAGTATTTTATAGCAAATATTGTTGCACTTGCGTGTGTAAAGTTTTGTGTTCATAGATGCTGGAAAAACCAAGGAAAAAAAATGCTTTTCTTGTAGTCTGGTTCACTGGCCCTACTTTAGACGAAACAAAGCAATTTAAAAACGTTGGGGAATTGTCAAGTCAAGAACCAGACTAGCTGGCTTGCACCCCTTCACGGATGTGTAACCGATTGCAAACAAAATGTGGACTGACTAAATTTGGTAAATTGGGGGCAGTATTTGGGGGAAAAAAGATTGCATGAAGGTAAGTTCTTGTTTTTTGTAATTTACGTTTCGTTTAAACGTTTTGGAAAATTTGTAAACCGATTTAGCCTGTTTTTCGTTTAAACATTTTAAACACGTAAACGTTACATCCTAAATGTGGAAATTGGCATACGCACTGTCCTGGTCAGTTTTCCCTCAAGGATCCTACAATCAAACACTGCTGAATAATGTCAGGATATTCAATTAATTCTAGATGAACGTCGGACTTATCTAGCTGTAGTACAACTGAAAGGAGACATCATGAACAGCCCTATTACTTTGCCATGGGGCTAATTTCCGGAGAGATCTTCACCGCACAAATTTACTCAGCAATAACACATGTAAAGTCAAAATATCAGCCGACGTATGTTGCTTTTTAAGTGATTCTCGGTTGAATACTTCCAAAAAAAAAAATACTTGTGATGGGATCAAGCTAAATGAGTCGTTTGTCGACCCCGGTCAAAAAAAATTTTATTACAGATTTGAAAAGAGCACAATCTTAGCATTACTGCTGTGAAAACCTCATGCTGATACCATCTTTAGTTCAAAAATTATAGAAGTCGGAACACCAAGAGATGTGATTAAATGATGTAATGAAGTGGCCCTATTTTGGCCTGAATCTCCAAATGAAAATTCCCGACAAACGACTCATGTAGCTTGATCGCATCACATTTTGAGCTACTTTTCTGTTTGCCCTTGACAGTAACTGGAATACAGCTACATGTATTTTTGTGTACTTGATATCAGTGTCAGGTTTGTGTACGGAAATGCATAAGAGCTGCATCACTTGCATGAATGTATTGTGATAAACAGCTTGGTATTAGCGCTAGGTGCATAGGCAGCTGCGAGACAGCTATGGACCAACACCTATGCCACCACACTGTCGCCAAACCACAGCTGTCTACGTTAAATGTCATGCTCAAGTCTCATTTCTGTGGACGCATGCCTAACGTCAGTTCTGTCGTCAGCACTGCTCTTGTTTTTCATGTGACTTTGACCTTGGTTTCTGTTCGTTCTTTGCGATGATTAGAGCGAACATGCCATGCGTCATAATGGGACACAAATTTGGGAATTAGAGACTACGGTACCTGTACAGGATCTGCCAAGAAATGGATGTTGGCTGAATTTTGGACGAAGTATTTCGTTTTTCTCTTTGGAACATTTTCGGCATGACAATTTCAAACCCATCTATGCATGAAAATGGGTCATTTTATTAATTGAGGGTCCAAAGTGCGACCTTTTTCCTGTCCCTGTTACCTTGGTACTTTGTAATTTGCCATTCAATTGTCATTAAGAAGACTTCAAGCAATTTTGTATAAATTGCTCATACCATACTTTCAATGGGGGGGGGGGAGCTGTTAAAATCCGACGATTATTATCACTTATATCACAGACTAGTACCGTACAAATATCCCCTAAACAAGCTGGCTCTGTCCGTATTTTGTCCAAACGCGGACATTATTGCCAGTATAATTTTTTGGGGGGAGTCAGAGCAAGGGGGGGGGGGTTCGCATTGTTTTAATGAATTTCTAGGTAAAAAAAATATTTTTGGACAGAGCTGGGTTTTTTTAGCACCCCCCCCCCCCCCACCCTGCCTTGATCCGCGCCTGCCAAAAGATCAGCTTTTTAGTTGGAGAGACATCAAAATCTAGTCAATTGAACTTGACACATAAAGCACGTCTGTCTGAAAGAACAATCTATGTATTTGGGCACCTGGGACCTTGAGTTTATGCAAAATAAAATCAGGCCGACTTTACTCACTCTTTAGCCAACAAAATTCTCCAAAATCTTCATGAGGCAAAGACAAGGTCCTCAGTATTTCACCAGCCAAGTTTGAGGTCTCAATTCAATCTTTAAAGGCGACTTTTCTTTAACATTTTGCACCTGAGAGTGACGCCAAGTGATTTCAATTTGAAGCCTAAGACTAGACCGGTACATGTCCAACGTTTTGAGAAGATTGACCCTTCAGTAGTCTGGTGGCACGACTATGAAAATGTGTAAAAATAGAGGCTGGGTACCAGATGTTTCTTTTGACACAGTTGATTGATGCCGTACTAAAAGGGTGTTGGACTGGTCGTTTCATGTGCCAGTCTATTTTCTTGTATTGCATGTTTTTACTTTCTTAAGTTTTGGGACTGTACTACACAGTCTTGAGAGTCCCAATCTTTCGGACTAGTATTTGGGTTGAGCATGGAGCACAGGTCTCAAGGCTGGTTTATACTCGGCGCCAAAGCGAAAGCGAATTTGTGACATCACGGTAAGTTTCCGCACTGTGAATTCGCAAACATTGAACACATTTGCTATTGTCGCAGCGAATGATTCCCGAGGTCAAGATCATTTCGCATAAATTTGCGTTAGCAAGAATTTATGAAATCACGTCAAGTTTCTGCGCTGCGAATTCGCAAACGTTGAACACATTTGGCGATTTTCGATGATTCCCGACATCAAACTCATTTCGCATCTGCCTTCGGGTGAAGTATAAACTAGCCTGGAAATGAATGCAGGTGAGATGGACCAGGAAAAGGGCATAAAATGACCCCCATTACCTTCTCTGCGCATGCCCATGGCAATGCATTTCTGGTAGCGGCAGTACTGGCAGCGATTCCTCTGACGTTTGTCCACGATGCAGTTCCGATCGTCTCGACACGAGTAACTCAACTCCTTCCTGACTGTCCTCTTGAAGAACCCCTTGCAGCCTTCACAACTGTAGACACCATAGTGCTTACCTAAAAGGGGGCGGGGGAGAGAACAGAAGAGGGGGATGAAAAAACATACCACATAATTGTGTCAAGAGCATGTTTGCCAAAGAAATGACTACGTTGGCACAATTTTTTTGTTTTGGAATTACATGTAGCCGTGACAAAAAGGTCCAAAATGAGAATTATCCGTTTCAAAAATTATTCCATCTTTTTCTCCCTAGAAACAATTTGAAGGAATCCTTTATGTATATTAAAAGATCTTAAGCTGTCTGTCTGATGTCTGTCAGTCTGATGTCTGTCTGTCTGATGTCTGTCAGTCTGATGTCTATATGTCATACTTTTTGTAAAAGGCCTGAAGAGCGTGCCCATGCACAAAATGCAAAGGCTAATGGAGAGGCTTGGTTACTGTATGTATTGCCTAAATGGTATGCTCCAATTTCACTGTCCTCTGAAGTCACTGTTGACACGTTTGTTTGTTTGTTTGGTTTTGTTTTTGTTAGTAAATTTGTTTCTTTAACACTTTCAATAAATAAATATTACAACATTATCCCTATGAAAACACTCCAAAAACACACATGTATCGCTGTAATACGATATGAATATGCATTTCGAAAGTTGACTGTGTAATGAACCCCTTTTCAAAAATACATCAATGGAGTGCGCACTGATCATTTGTAAGATTCACCCCGCTAGATTGACCCTATGCGAAGCGCAGCATCCACGCCCGCAAGTTCCGTTTAAATTTCCACAGAACCTTTTGAAGAAAATCATCTTTGATGAAGAACAGCCTGTTTACATGCACTTTAGTGAATTTCATTAATTTCCGAAACAGATTTGAGTTTCACACCCCAAGACGGTGATAAGATGTTATCACACTTCCTGGAAGGGATTCTCAGCAAATTCCTGGCTTATTCAGAGATTTAGGTTTCCTCTTCTATAAAGAACCCTTGACATGCTCCAAGACATAAATTAATAAATTCAGAAGCACGACCACATATAAATATTTCACAAGTATTCCACTTTTTTTTTTTTTTTTTTTTTTTTTTTTAATCTTGGCTGTACAGCCAGAGATCATTCTCCTAATTAAATTGCCAAAACAACCCTAGAAGCAGCAGTAGTGAAATTCTGTGCGTTTTGACTTTTACAATCCGTGAGAGTCATCTAAACTGCCATGTATGTTGGCTGTATCCATTTATCAGCTACCAGTATAATTGAAATGAACAAACAGCCACAGAGATGCGACCTTGGCCTTTGCAGAATATTAATAAATTGCTTCACATTAATAACGTGATGTGTGTGTGTGTGCGAGTGCTTTCAAAGACGTGCACATTAATGCTCTTTGGCAGAAAGCAAGGCTTCGGCTTGTGAAAAGGATATAGCCGTTATTCAAGGACAGAGCTTTTCGGATCTGCGGTTTCGCTTCAATGTCAAGCACGTTCTTATCGGCTTAGTGCCTGCTTTGTGTCGTATTATCGTTTTTACGTGCTGGTACTGGTACTGGTACCGTACATGTATGTAGTTAAATGTAGTCATAAAACTATCCTAGACAGCAAATTGGTGCCTTCATGTATGCACACACACGTGCAATACTGGTATGTGGGTCATTCTGGAAAAGTGGGTTCCAAAAAGTCATTCTCATCAGCTTAGTGCCTGCTTTGTGTCGTATTATCGTTTTTACGTATTGGTGTTGGTACTGGTACCGTACATACCGGTATGTATGTTGTTAAATGTAGTCATAAAATTATCCTAGACAGCAAATTGGCGCCTTCATGTATGCACACACACACGTGCAGTACTGGTACGTGGGTCATTCTGGAAAAGTGGGTTCCAAAATGTGACATTTTTCCTGTCCCTGCTACCTCTGAAATTTTTAATTTGCCATTCAAGTATCATTAATCCTCCTATGCAAACATACATTCTGCGCCAAGTGGTCCTTTCGGTCAAAATCAATCAAGTGACTGTTTTCAACAGTTAAGAATTCCCAGCCTACATAAAGCAAGATTGACTGACTGTGACTGTTATGTAACTTGATACAGCTTTGCTTTGGCTGTGGGTAATTGATAAGCCAGCTGTGCCCACAACTTTGCCTGAACTGTTCGTGGTCTGTTGACTGAGTTTGACTAGTCACAGTGCTTCCTTAACATATGATCTGACTGCTGGTGACTAGCCTGTGTTAAAAGTATAGCAAAGGAGGTGGATGGAACTGGGACTGTCTATGACTGCATGTTTAAATAGCAGGAGGGTTAAGAATGACTTCAAATACTTTTTTCGTATTTGTTTGTTCGGTAGTTTGCTATTCATAATCACTCTTGGAGGACGACTGCATTAACCCTAACTCCCTAGCATCTTTTACTAGGAACTGAAGCAAGTCAATCAAAATCCATCAATCAGTGTGCGTCCAATACAAAACTGTACATGACATAATGGAATCCACCACTGACGCACTGGTTGACATTCATGGACTTATTTGCTACACATGGCTTCACAATAGCAGTGCAGGAAGCTGGGCAAATCAATCAGATACCCCTAGCACTGCTTCAGACCATTAGGCCCAAGTCCATCATACTCCATCACTATTCAGTCACGCCAGGCCTTCTGGACCAAGTCCCCCAAAATCCACCAAAATGGGGGATGGATTTTGATGGAGTTGGGGTGGTTAGGGTTCATTTAACCCCAACTCCCTAAGCATTTTGCTACATGTAGGATGTAGCCTCAATCCTGCAAAATCCTCTGACTGCCTCCATGTAAAAATTGCAAGCAGCCTCAATTCTGCAATATCCTCCAGCAATCACTGTCAATATGTTTAAGCACAGCCAGTGACATCCTGCAGCAGTGCAGAGGATTTTAAGTATAATCTATGCCTAAAATATATGCACTGCTGAGCATAAACAACACAAGGTCGGGCCCAAGACCTTGACACAGTGCATACTCCAAAATCAGCCACACATTTTTTGCCATATGCACATGTACATGTACAGGTAGCCTCAATCCTGCAAAATCTTCAATTTTGCAAAGAGGATTTTGGAGGATTTGTGAAGGCTAGGGTTAAAGAGTGCACCCAGAATTATAAAAATCACAGATGTCAGATGTGGACTGAAAAAAAAATTGGATCCCAAATTTAAAGAACGACCCCCAAGTAAATCTGGCAAAACCTATGGCAAACATATGTATACATGTACATGTACAGGTCCTATTTAACAAGTGTTCTGTTTTAATAACCAGGTTGGTAAGCCCCGACTGATATTCAGACCAGATAAGAAGGAATGCCAACGTTTGTTGTTATGACGAAAATGTTGATAAGATAAAATATTAAACTGTTGAAATGATGAGGACCAAACCAAGTAGCATTCGGTGCACAATTATTCCAAACCGTACTTTTCATGTCGGGTCATTTCATCTGCTGATGCACATGTGTACCTCTTGATCATGTCGACGATGAAGAAATTATCACTGCACGCTTTTTGGCTGTGCACAAAAGTAAGAGTCTTAATAGATGAAGACTTTGTGAGTAACCATGGGAACAAGTTTAATGAGGGGATGCAATTAGATGCTTAGGGTTCTAAAGAATGCCGCTAACAAGGCAGGACACACCAGCACGGATGGACAATGAAAGGCATTATTTCCACATGTGGTCATCCTGTATTTTTCCTCATTTTAAGCCTCAAACCATATCAATGGTGTGTTACCATGGGAACTGTATGGACATAAGAGTCTGACGTGACCGCCAAAAATAGCTTTGGGAACTCTTTCAATTTCGAAACTGTCTATTTTTGATTCCCAATTATTGCGAAAATTCTGTTTTGTGCTGGAACACATACAAAACAAAACCTTCTCCCGAACATCATTTTCTTTCTTTCAGCAGGCTTAGGAGAGTAAACCGTGCCTCAAAACCCATGCATGACAGACACTAACTGGGAGACAAAGTCAATTACATGCAGTACGTATGGCAATCTGAAGATGACAGCTTCGAAACCTTTCAATCAAGTTCTTTCTTTCGGGCATCTGGTAGTTTTTACCAAGCTAAAATTAGGTGTTTTTCCTTTTTTTTTCAGTGTTTTTCTTTTCCTATTTTGCAAGTCATCCCTACAACACCACACAATAGGCAACTGTCAGAAAAATTACGGAGTACGTACAAGACATTCCAAAAGGAAAAAACACGTACAGGGGACTGTAATGACTGTATCCCAATCCATGAAATTGTTTAAGACAGAGACGCAATTCGCCAATAACTGTGGTAAAAGTCAGGAAGATTGACGTCTGAATTTCCACAAGCAATTCTAGGTGCATACATGTACCGGTACATATCCAACATATGTTGTTCATTACTTGTCCAAAACATGAATATTGCATTGCGAGTTGTGCATGTATACAAATGTATGTAGTCGGCACATTCGTAAATATTTGATTGCGAAAATGCTCATTGCCCATTGGCATGGACAATTTCATTTGATATGTCAACCTTAGGTAGAGGCCATGTGCTGAGGTGGTATGACAATCATTGGCAGCTTGTATCACACATGCACGCACACACTCGACGCTCCTTTGGAAAGGGTGGCTAAAAATAACGCATGCCTCAAATTTAAAAACACCTGTGATGCGTGTGGGTTGGATTCCATGTCCGACATGCTTACTAATTAAGGTATCTGGATTAGTCTGTTCCACCCCCCCCCCCCATGAAAATCTTTCAACCAATCACAAGGTCTCTTCTAAGGGGGAGGGGGGGGGGGGCTTCTCTACAATTCATCCTTACCAGAGGCCCTGTCTCCACAGACTGCACAGATGCCTTTGTTCAAGGAGGAGCCCGGCATTCCTAGCGGGGAGTGCGCCCCCTGATTCAGCATTGAGGACGGGGACAAGGAGATGTGTGACATCATGGACTGAGACATCGGGTGGGTGGGGATCCCCGAGGGTCCAATCATAGGCTTGATGTCCTCCTGGGAGGAGACGGAGGACACAGACCCACCCATACTGCTCAGGGTAGGGGACTGCATTGCCGGGGAGTGCATCATACCGCTGTGGAGAGGGGGTGGGGAGGTGATGAGGGGTGGGGAGCCCATGTTGCGGGAGTTTGACATCGGGGGTGGGGAACCCATGGTGCTGGTGGGGGACTGGATGGACGATATGGAGTTGATCGAATCTGCACAAGAAAAAGAAAACAACAACAAAATTATTGCTTGCAAAAATAAAAATAAAAATCAACTAAAAAGCACTCAGAGAGCGCAAACCTCCGCCAAGGCTAAACAATTCCCCGCCACATTGTCAGTACACCCCAAAGAAATACTTGCATAAATGGTGAAGAATCTTTTAAAAAAAATCCTGGATCCAGACCCAGATCCTGATCACTTCCAAAATCTAATTGATTTGTGCTTGTGGACGACCCTATAACAACAATTTCATGCAAATCCGTCCACAACATTTTGAGTATTCTTGTTAACAGACAAACCAACCAAATCTGATGAAAACGTAACCTCCTTGACGGAGGTAATAAGAAAATGTGAACTTAATATGACTTCACATTACACGTGCAACAACTACATGTATAGTTTTAATGTCGTTTTCGCATGTGCAATGGTATCTTTTCTACAGGCACTACTCTTTAGCAATTTCACGCACTCTTTAAATTCCACAAAATATCATTTTCACTCTTACATGAATCTTTGTTTTTTTTCTTTCACTTCCCCAAAATGAAATGAAATGTACGTACAAGATAACCATGGCACATTATGTACAGTGTAATGTAGCATGCATGTACATGTATACAATGTACATTATATTTTAATGTAGCCCCATAATGTGGCCTATTTACTGGACTGACTCCGTAAACATAGGCCACACTTCCACATGTACAAAAACGTGTCGCACTTTGTCAAATTTTGATTTTCACATGATTTAGGCTTAGTTTGTAGGGTTTTTTTTGCTTTAGAAGCATACTCACCCTCTTTATAGGCTAATCAGAAAGTGCTGCCTTTTTCAGATGTCTAATTTTTGTGAAATTTCATGTTGAAATTTTGATACGCAAACCGTGTGCAAATGAATCTGGAAATTTCACGAAAAATAGACATCTGAAAAAGGCAGCACTTTCTGATTAGCCTATAAAGAGGGTGAGTATGCTTCTAAAGCCAAAAAAACCTACAAAATAAGCCTAAATGTGAAAATCAAAATTTGGCAAAGTGCGACACGTTTTTGTACATGTGGATGTGTGGCCTATGTTTACGGAGGTAGTCCAGTAAATAGGCCACATTTATGGGGCTAATTTTAATGCAACTTAATATTTCAAGCCCTGTGTATCTGAATAACCTCATTCCTCAAGCATACATAATTTATGAAGAGATTATGTTAAAATAATTCACAACGTTTGTGTACATAGGAACAAAAATGTGTCAATACAATTTCATGGCTATCAACAGAGCACTTAAATAAAACCTCAACATCTGTATTTCAATTATGCCTCCCGGACGAGGTCTGTCCAAATGTCTGTTCGGGCACGCAGCGTGCTCTTTCACATGAACAAAAAGGTCTCGGTGAAGTCAGACAAAATGGCTACCGCTAGCGGGTTCCCCATGTAAATAGACGTGCATTTGACCTGACCGTGACCTGTGGTAATGCAATACAGACAGTCCAGACAGTCAGCTCTGGGTGCTGTGTGCTGCGTGTGTGTTGTGTGAGCAGATTTCAATCAGTATGACTATACAAAGTAGTGTACAGTGTGCGGTGTAGGACAGTAGGATCAATGTAGGATCAATGTACGTAACGTACATGTACATTGTTGAGTGCAACATGCACAGTATGTGTACAGTGCTGTACATGTTTATTTACATGTACACACCATTCGTCCTAACCCACCGTCAGTGCATGCACAGTCTAGCAGCAGGATGCATTTTCGGTACTCGCGCATCCACGCTCCATTAAAAATCTGTTCCACATGTCCGCCTGTGCCTGGACAATTGACAACGACTGTTGATGAACAGTATAATGTGGGAATGCTTGATGGTACATGTATGTCAAGTTCGTGTGCAGGAAATTATGTGGCCCAAAGTCACATAAATGTAACGTACAAGATTTTCCCAATGTCATGACTATTTTTTTTCTTCTTTTTTTAAATTTACTAAATTTACTAGTACACCATAACACATTGGTTATCATACAAATAATGAATATTTATGAGTGCAATGGTGAGAATATTTTCTTGAGCTGAAAGATTGAATGTTCCATTCAACGAGGCGAAGCCTACATACAAGTAGCCAAACATGTAGATGATGTAATAAAGACAACTTGCATACCTAACAATAACAGAACACTGTATGTGGAAGTCAAGATACATAATTTGAAGGAATTTTATCTTCCTAATCCTCATTTGGAATGAAATCCCTCAGTAATACATTTTACCTTTTTTACATATTTACTCATGGTTTTATTACTTGGAAATGCTTTGCTTTTCTTTCATTTTTTTTTTTGTTTCATTTTACTCAAATTGAAATTGTTCAATCGCTTTATCGCTTGAAACATCATTTCTCTCTTTTTTGTTTTGATTTTTGGGAGGAAAAAATCCATCAACACTAAACGGAAATACTTTGGTTTTTCGTTCATATTTTTGGTTTCATTTTACTTAAATTGGAATTTTTCAGTTGTTATCACTTAAAACATAGTTTCACTCTTTGTTTGTTTTGACTCATTTTGGGAAAAAAATCCCTTCATACAAAATTTAACTCTCTTTTTTGGTCATACTTTTTATTCTTGGTTTTATTGTTTGGAAATAGTTCTTCTTTTCTTCTTTTTTTCTATATTTTACTTAAAATGGAATTTCCAGTTCTTATCACTTGAAATATAATTTTACTCTCTTCTGGTTCTGACACTAGGTATTATTGTGCAAAGTGGAATCAAATTAGAAATGCAGGACATATCGGTCAGATATTTATACGGTCATAAATACTTTTGGCAAAGGAAAGAAAAAACCCCAATAAACTGGGAAAATGAAGATTATATGACTAATTCACATGCATTGGCTTATGATTGTTGAGCCCTAAAAAGAGATGGTATCATAATAAACCCCATAAACCAATTGCTATTATAGTCAAGAAATTCATGAGAGCGAATCTACCCAGATGTCAAATAATTTATTAATATCCGTTGAAAATGGGGCAGAACAGATGATTGTACAGAAATGTACATGCAGGCCAGATGGTACATGTATTTACATCTCTGCCTTAAACATCTCCGATATTCCCACCACAAAACCCTCTTTATTTTGCCATTTTCCCAAACATGGTTATTTTTTGAGAAATTCTAACCTGTAAGCATTTTGCATGTTTACAACTTGTTTACTGCGTGTACAGGGTGAGTAGAAAAACACGAAACCCAAATGTCGGGACCATTATTTTAGTGAAGTTCTGCATGTAGCACTTTCAAAATCTAGGATATGAAAGCCCAATTCATAAGCTTTCTTTTTGTACAAAAATCATTCAAATCACTCATGTACCTTTCAAGTTATGGAATTTTAAACACAACCACCATTTTAAAGTTCTGTCCACGGATCACAAGAATGTAAGTGTTCTTTCAGCAAAACGAACACAAATCACATAGAACGCACACCTTTTCTGTGATCCGTGGACAGAACTTTAAAACAGTGGTTGTGTTTAAAATTCCGTAATTTGAAAAGCACATGAGTGATTTGAATGACTCTTGTACTAAAAGAAAGCTTATGAATCGGGCTTTCTGCTAAATTTAGAAAGTGCTACATGCAGAACTTCACTAAAACAATAGTCCTGACATTTGGGTTTTGCTTTTTTGACTCGCCCTGTATGTGTCTGACATTTGTCCGTTTTTATTTTTCAAAGTCCACATTATGGTTCATGTACAGTATAGACAAGTAAACAAGTACACAGCCTTAAGTAGTATTTGCAAATATGACATAAATACCAAATGATGACATCAAAGAACAAACAAAAAATGAACATATTGCGGAGTAGTAATACAGATCATATTGTACTTAATGTAATTGAGAAGCAATATGGTGGTTTATGTTACACTCAATGGTATACCAGACCAGTAATTGTCATCATTTGTCAAAGCCTTTTTACTCCTGTTGAGATGTATTGCTATACGACTCAACAGAAGAGAACACCGTGCCTGTTGTCTCACTTGTGTTTCCATGGGTGAATGACTGCATATTTAACATACATACTGTACATGTATAGCACAATATGTACACGTAAATATGCCCATGAATGGGTACAAATATACATGATATGCACATGTACCAGTACATGTACATAATCATAAATGTACATAATTGCCCTGATGAGGGTGCATCGCACGAACGCTCAGCTATCAATACCCAGTGAGCTAGTACTATTTTACTTTAGTTTGCCCATGGAGGAATAAGAATTCCTCCATGGTTTGCCGGCCTAGGCTTACACTGAAGTTCTGACCAACAGGATCTATAGGCATCCATATGTACATTAGATGTGTTTGTGTGTGTACATGTACAGAGACAAAGCCACATGGGGCCCAAAGGGGCCTACAATCACATGCAAAAGTTAAGTTCTTGAATACATTGAAGTGTGCAGCTACTAGGGGGTGCTAGTTTTTGGATCATTCACACATGTACATGACATTGAGTGTATTATACACAAACCATAGGGGTTCCAATTCCACTGGTTCCCATGTCTCTTTAATGCATTATCCTCATAACAAGAATTTGCCGCCTGCCAGTGAATGTCACTGCTGGGCGAACATCATTATGCCACATGCCGTAAATAACGACAGCATTAAATACAGGCAAATAGACCTACACATATTGAGTTGTTTGCTTAGATACTGTAGGTCCCCAGTGAGGGAAATAAATCATACCCAAAAATCTCCGTGTGACATTTTGATCAACCTGTTAAGTGCTTAGAAAACTCCCAACGTGATTTATCACCAGAGCGACCGTGTCAGTTCTAATTATCGAACTTGAGTATCACAGACATTTGGGTAATTTATGATGCGATGTGCATGAATAAGTGCAAATTTAGAATCAATTGCCCGTTCTCCAAGTTTTGGACTATTTCAACCATTTCAACCAACTACTGAGTGTTGCACATGGTACGTGTACATGTACGTAGTAATCATATTCTAGCACTTTTTACCTAATCTTGTACCAGTGTACATGTACTCAAGTTAATATATTCGACCAGTACAGGTACATGTAAATGTACATCACTTCACAGCGACATTTGAAACCAACCTTTTCTAGGTCAGGCTAAAATCCTTAAAAATACATGAATATGAAACAGGAATTATGTACTTATGTGTTCGCCTCTTTTTCAACTCATTTTCTACAGTGTTCCTGGTTATGTATTTTTTTCAGTGAAATGCGTATACCTGATGTGTATAGGTGCAAAGGCCACAAGGACCTAACCGCTGAGTCAATAAATACTGGGCAGATTCCAAGCAACCACTTTCACTCTTCCACGAAAAACCATCGGCCAATTTGTCATTTTCCGGGAGGTGAACGGCATATAATTATATACACCCTTCAGTGTACATGTACCGGGGTACATTCATGTTCATGTACATGTACATACATGTATGCACATGGGCTAATCGTACAAAATAGTTTCATGTACCCGATGAATCAATATGTAAAACTTGTTAGTTTGAAAAATATGCATTGATCTGTATCTCTGACTGAAGTTAAGGATTTCAACAAAATGTGTGCATCGTTTGGAGGATATTGTGAAAGTATAGAGGCCTCACAATCAAATGGTTACGGGTTCAACTCCTGGCTGAAATTTGCCTCCAAATTCATGTCTACAAATTTGATTAACCTTAACTCCCTAGGTGTTTTTGCTAGGATGCAAACGCAATCCTGCAAAATCATTCGTTTTTTTCTTGAATGTGGTCCTTGGAAGGGTGACCACTGCCTCAATCCTGCACAATCCTCCAGCAATCACTGTCAATATGTTCAGGCAGAGCCAGTGACATCCTGGAGCAGTGCAGAGGATTTTAAGTATAATCTAGGTCTAAATTTATGCACGACTGAGCATAAACATCACAAGGTCCGGCCTAAGACCTTGACACAGTGCATCCTCCAAAATCAGCCACACATTTTTGCCATAAAGCCTCAATCCTGCAAAATCCTCTATTTTGCAAAGAGGATTTGGAAGGTTAGGGTTAATGGGAGAGACACACATGTACATGTACATGCATAGGCTTACACAGTCCTTCATTTAAAGAAAATCCAGGAGAGCTATAAATCGCTCTCCTCAAATATTTGAGGAGAGCAAATCGCTCTCCTTAAAATCTACGGATAAACAGCGGTAAAACGACGGGTTACCATTGTTTTTGTTTTATTTTGAATATAACGATTTATTCAAGGGGCTGCATTATTATTAGTTTTTGCATAATAACATATGCTCAAGTTGCGTTACTTTTTTCGTTTTTGTAACTGTAAGACAAGGTAAAATTTATTTTAAAAAACTAACTAAATGGAGATTAATAAAAGGTTTGACTACTGCTTAGGCTTTCATTTTTTAATACAGTTGTCAGTTGGTTCATCACTTGATTATACTTTGAAAATGGAGAGTTAATAAACAGCACATAAAGCAACTGAATATTTGCTTTCAGATTCGTTAAAATTACATGACATTTTCAGCCAGAACTATTTCAATTGCTCTACGAAAGCTATACAAAAAGGGCCTCAAAATGACACAAACTTGCCTTAAGTTTTATCGAAAATATTTGCCGTCGATAATCTTAAAAATAATGGAAAATGCAGGTCAAGTATGCCATATACACAATGCTAGTCACGACGAGAAACTGGCTAACAACGTCTGAACTTCGCACTAGTACGAGCGTTTGTGATGCACTGTGTGTGGTGGGCCGGCAATGAGACTCGTTTTACGGTATAGGATTTCGGTGAAACACGTACGCTGCATCGTTTCACTTCACATACCAGTAAAACTTCCTCAAAATAAATTTATGAACACGGGAAATACATACACAGACAAGAAAGATCAAGTTCTGTGAATAAGCTTGCAAAGATCGTCCTTCTCAATCGTTGTTTTCTTGGCATTCACGATGTCTATTCCGTCCGGCCTGCACGCAAAACACTGTACGGCAGTGCATTGCACCGCCCGCGACTTTTACATTGACTGGTTACCGCATTTTCATCATGCCTTCATTGGGACTTAGTGCGCGGCGCAGCGGGAACCAGTCATTGCTGCACTCGCACGTACGGGCCCACGTGTTTTCATGCAGCTCTATGCGATTTGCAGATTGTGCACGCACAGTATACAACCGCTGTACACACACGATCTTATACAGTGCGTACGAGCTCGGTGTTCGTTCATTTTTAGCGATGTCCAGCGGCATATTAACGTGAGTTTGGGCATTATACCAACGAAAAATACGTGTAGCTTAAGACTTAAAATCCTTGCGTTTTTATCACTTCTTATTTTTAAACTTCCCGTGTTTGACGAGCCCTCTTTTGGATTTCTGAGGAGCGCTATTTTTGGCGCTCCTTCGAGACAGTCGAGGAGCGCAGTAGGAGCGCCTGCGCGATCGCGCTCCTTAAAAATGAAGGACTGCTTACATGTACATGTACACATGTAGGTTTCCCCATTTTTAGTCAAAAGATACATGTACAATGTACCACTGCATGCATTTCTTCATACAGATATTCTAGCCTAAAAAATTCCCACCGGTGCCACATGCACTACATGTGCAGTCATTTTGAAGTACATGGGTATTGAGCATCGCCTGAGATTGACACAAGATGCCAGAATTTGCATTAAAAAAATCACACCAAACCCTCGGTAGAACTGAGCACAGCGTCCATGCCTACTGACATTTAATAAAAACCAAATAACGCTGCAATAGCAGATATATATTGGCTTTTTGCCAGCATCGGTTCCACATTACAATATAATAACCTGCAGTTGTGCTCCCTATAACTGCCTCCAGTCACGGCTAGTTTAATTTCCAAAAACACAATTGTAATGGAAAGCTAAAATCTTTTGTACATATATGAAATGCACGGTCCGTGGAGATTTTTCAAAGTGGGAGAAGCTGAAATGTGCTGTGTGAGGGGCCTGAAGGGTAGACTGCAGTTGCAGAAGGAACAAAAATTGTCTGACGGATGATTTCATTTGCTTTTGATTTGACCAACAATGCAACCATTTGGCATTTTTCATCAGTCGCTTTTTTTTTTTAATGGAAAAAGAAATACCCATTGTGTCTGACTATTTGTAAGTACTTTTTTATAAATGTATGTATGAGTACATGTATAAGACCTGTACATGTACATCCCATATGAGGTTTGTAAATGAGTGAAATTTTATTAGAAATGTATTATTGACATTATTACTCATACCGGTAGGTTTATGAATGTGATGCGAATTCATGGAAAATTAATTTCATTTATTATGTGGAAAAATTGCAAACCAAAAGTGCCAATTTTAAGTTGTCATTTCATTAAGCGTCTGCGTAGCCAAAACAAAATTAACTGCACAAACTGACAGAGAGAAAAGTGCTGTGCAACATATGAAGGTTTTTGTTTTGTTTTTGTTTAGTTGACAGTAATATCAATGAGATATGTACGTTATCAAGCAAGTTATCAATGCAATAAAAAATATGTGATGCAGACAACCTGTCTAAAGTGGCCACATCTGGGACCAACTAAAATGGCCACAAGGCACAAATGGCCACAATGACCAGGTTTATGTGTCAAGTGCATTGCATATGGGCTGTTCATAGGTTGACCACATAGGCCAGCTTCTTGGTTGTCCGTGGACAAATGTGAGCTTGGCTGGCTATGATTGGGCAAGGTTCTGACAAGCACGTGCGGTTCGAGAACAAAGTGTAAAACTTGTGTCATAAAACTGTTTACTGCCGATATAATACAACGTTATTCTCACAGTCCATCATTTGCAGCTATCCAAAAGGTAACTGACGTAATTATTGTTGAAAAACATACTTGGTTGAAACATAGTAAGGGGACTAAACTCCCTGTGAAATTATTCTTTCTGGCAACCTGTCATTTTGAAGAAATCAATGAAAGAAGGCCTTTCCAACGGTGCGTCTTAAGACGCACTGTTGGAAATTTCCATTAGTATTTCGTTTCTTTTATTCGGCGAAGCCTGCGCAAGCATTGACACAACGCACACGCAGTTGCTATGATTTGTCGGATCAGTGCGTGACATCGCATAGCTGCAATCGGCTCAGTGAGAATGTGTCTCGGACGCTGACTCCAGGCCCAATTCAAAACATGATTCAGCAAGTTTTGATTTGAAATCGAGATCCTAGAATTTGTTTTTTCTCGAAATATACAGCTGAAGCTGAGCTGAAACTTCATCAGGTTAGTTGTTCAACACCCTTCTTTAGATTTTGAGCACGTTTGGTGCTTCAAACGAACAAAATGCACAAATTACAAACGATGGACAATACGTTTTAAAAAAGTGTTTCAGTTGAGGAAAACAATTACAACATGCACCAATAGGTCACAGAAGTGAGGATAAATACAAACTGATATTTCCACATTCACAGGGTGGAAATAGACAAAAGGTCAACATCCCTTCAATATTGGAAATGCCAGCTTACGACTTCCCGTCCAATTTCTGTCATTGCTTGTTTGTTAAATCCCCCAACCCGCATTGTTTAGACAAGGCATGTGCAGGATATGTGAAACTGATAAGGATGTTACAGACAGTAAACTACGTGGATGAAACAAATACCTAGGTGCCAAAAGTTAACCTAGAAATTACAACAAATTTTATGGTGCGTGGTGTTGGTTTTGTTTTTTTTAAAGGAAAATAGGGTAGAGAGAATAAATTAGGGTCACGTACAGTATCCAGATCCCGGTGAACACTGGTCAGGTGATTGGCGACCTTTACCTACATAGATAAGACAAATAAAGTCAGAAATGTTACAACCATCGACCAAAATGTACAATTTGTTCATATTCACGGGTTAAACAGCATCAAAAATGTTAAGCAAGCGATGTTTTTTTCAAAGGGCACACATTGAATTGTTTCGTCCCAACAAAAGATATGGATATTGCTGGCAAATGTCAGGATGAATTCTGAGCACTCGGCTTACTGGCAGACTGAAAAGAGGAAATGTCGGGGCTCCAACAATGAAAAGGGCTACCGGTGCATACAAGAATGGAAGTTGCCACAGAAGAGAGTGTTTGAATTTGATACAAACAAGCAGATGCTTTTAACGTGTGCATCATGGTCTCTGCCGCGTTATCTTTGTACACATGGTCTCTGCCGCGTTATCTTTGTACTTGAGGATTAGTTTGAGCCTTTACAAAAATGTTTCCCAAGTACAAACAATGAATGTACAATGTATGCACAACTAGGACAAATTTGAGACAGCCGTTTTTTTTTCATTTAGTGACACATTTAGATGATTGTCCCGGCTTAATCCCTTTTCCATGGGAACCGGTGATATTTTAAAAAGCCGGGAATTTTTGGCAGGTGGACAGGACAAATCCACCCAGGATATATAAAAAAAAAAGAAGCCTTTCTGAACATTCTGTTAATTTCTCATTGACATTGAGCATTCCAATGTACTGCAGACAGCAACTGTTTTGGCCATTTTGAATGATGCAATCAAACTCCAATGTGCTTTTAGGGAAGCATTTACAAAATTGTCTTCTTCTGAATATTACATTACCACAAAGTGCATTTCATGGCAAAGCTATTAAAAGCGCACAATTTGTCAGCTTGGTGACACCTTGTGATATTTAGTGGGTTTTTTTATGAGCTGTGGTGGAAACAAAATGACATTTGAAATTTGAAATATTCAGATGATTTTGAGTTTACAAGCTTGGAAACCACAAATAAAAACTGAGACACATAATTAAATTGAAAGATTCTCATAAATGTACAAGACATGCATTTTCAAGTCTGCAAATTTGATATGCAAGTTATAAGAGCGTGTGTCAAAAACGTATCAATATTGAAGTAATTCAATAAAACACCGATTCAGAAACCATCGCCTGTCAGCAGATATTCCCAATCAAGAAAAATACATGTAGATAACCAAAGATAAAAATAGACCTTTCAATCTGGTTTGGTCCACATCAATGCCTAGTACTAGACAGACCACTTAATTGAGCTTTTTGTTTGTGATAATCAAGGGCACTTGGTAATGTTCAGATGATTAGCTCTAATGAACAAGCATTGTTAAAGCATGCTGACCACAAGCGTATAACTGTTACATTGGCTCATTAGGCATGATAAATGGCAAAGGGTTTCAGTAATTGCATGTGACCTCAGCTTTAAATAGATTAGCAAGCTGATGGATTAGTGGGATAAAGATAATCCCTGATTTACTATTCAACCCTACTCTCCTGTAGTAGAGGTACATGTAAATGACTACACACATGTAAGTAACTGTACGTGTACATGTATAATGTACCCGAAGGCTTTCCTTCCAAACAAACACGTCCACAACACCACCACTGTGCCATATTCTACTGATGTGCATTATTTTGTCAACAAATTGAAATTACCTGTGTAGTACAATATGCACAGCTAGGGCTGTGCAGTGGAACTGGGTACCCGAGTACCCGACCATTGATTTCAGGAATTGGTACAGATTATGGGATCGGGTACTTGTAACCAACATTACAAATACATGTAACTTACATGGAGTAACTTCTCAGATTATGAAAAATAAAGGTTGTGAATGTCATTTGTCGAGATTTTCAAAATGAAAGTCAGGCTACATAGAAACACATACAGCTATATTAAATTACTAGAGCGCTAACTTCGTGTACAAAGTAATGCCTGCTGGGCGCATCCATGTTTGTGCACAAACCTATGGAGACCTAGAAATTGTGTACGGCTTTTGTACAGCCATTTGCATATCTGCGTTTGTATTCCATACCGGTGCGTTACCGAAGCCAATACGCCCAAAACCGAAACGCACGATCAGCAAATGAGCATGTCATTTTGCTCTACGCAAACAGCGCAACATGTGCACGTATTCGCTGCAGATGCTTTTTGCCTTCACGTTTTTTTAACCGTCATGATGCGCTTAAGTTGTTTGCCCTTTTTTACTTGCGCGTTGCATGTAGAGTACACAAAATTCAATCCATCTAATTTAATTGTGTTCTACAAACACGCACATGAATTCAAAATGTCTGCGCCCAGGACGGCTTCAAAGCGTCTCCGCGCGCAGAATGACGAGTTAGCGCTCTAGTAATTTAATATAGCTCTATGTAGAAACGTAAAACATATTTCACGTTTATGACGTGCGCAAAAGTTGCAGTTTCCACCATAAAGCTACCCTATATCTCACTGTACACACTTGTATCTTGCAGCATTGAGACACCGATGTGGCAGTATTATCGTGCTGACCTTAGTAAATGCACACCCCTACGCACAACAATTCAAATAAACAGAAAATCAGCTTACAATGGTTTACAGGAATTCAAATTATAAGTCTAACCATGAGCTATAAAACACATGGATGGAGATCGATATAAGAAAATGCATACGGTTGACACGGAGCTGGTTATGAAAGTGCCCACAACAAAAACACCGCTGGCAATTTTGTAAGAAATTCACAAGGCTCTCTCCTCACATGGCTCGTATGCGTCAACGGATGCGGCACTGACAAACAGCGTCGCGTGAGCCACGCCGCACATGGCTCAAACTCAAAACTCCTTGATCAATTCCTTGCCAGTTTCTGGACGGCGGCACACGTGGATGGGTTTAACGGATGAGTGGTGACGGCCATGTGACAAGACTCGCACGTGCGGGAAGTGTGAGGGAAAAAAGGCAACCAGTCAATCTAATCTCGCCCACAGAGGAGACTCGTTACGACAGGAATGAGAAAACAAAACCAATCGGCCACAAAATACTCTAGGAAAGACTGACAGGCCAAACAATCATGGGGGGAGTAATAAGTGAAATTAGCATATGCGTCCGAACGTCTTTGCGATTTTCACCCAACGTATTGTCAGAATACCGGTAGTTAGACGACAGAAATACCAAAGTAAATTGTTCAGTTTTATTTCATTTTCTAAAACCTCTGCCTGGGGAAAACATCCAAAGATCTAAAAACAAAAATCAATGAAAAAAAATATTGTTTAACAAAAAGGAAAAACTAAAACAGACATCTATTTTAAAGAAAATTACTTGTTTTTTTTTCAAACCGTTTCTTTTTGTACATAAATTGTACAAGTTAGTATTATTTCTTTCTTTTTTAGGGGGGTGTAGGGTATTAATGCCCACCTACATGTATACATTTTAGGGCCCATTGTTCCACGAAGAAGCAAACTGTCACATAAAGTGTACGGTATTAATATTACCATTCATCATGTATAAAAACACATGCACATGTACATGTATGTATCCATCCATGCATCACAACAGTATCTCTAGGGCAAATAAATACTACAAAACACTTTCTTTCCAAATCTTTCAAACTTCAGACTTTTTGAGGAAAACCAAAGTGGGCTGAATCATAAACCGGAAGAGAACTTAATCTTTTGTCCAGTTTTCATTCAATCGAATCTGGGACAGGGCTGTTTGAGCCTAGGGGCCCAGCACAAAAGAATAAAAAAGGGAGGCAAATCATACACAAAGGGTACCGGTATCTGGTTCATTCCATACAGTTTCTCATAGTTGTTGAATGACACATCTATCTAAAAGTGTAACTAACACACATGTGTTTTCTTCAAACAACTTCGGCATTAATTATTAGATGTATAACACTAAAGGGTTTATCGGAAGATCCAATATTTGATTCAAATACAAGAACTTACAAGGGCTGTACTGAATATTCGATCAACAACTGAATATTGGAAAAGCTTTTTGCCGGTTCGAATATTCTTAAAAAAAGAAAAGAAAACTAAGCACGTTTGTACACACGCACTGTGATGTTGTTTTCATCGTAAAGGTGCGGCGCTCTAATGTCAGATGCCACTTTTTTGTCGATGGTAACTTTTTTGTCAACGACGTTTCACTGTTCCCATACTTTTTGCGGGTTAAAGCCCTTGACAGTTACCGGTATACTTAGGCCTACTGCAATACACTCCATTGGCCCATAATATGAAGCACACATATTTTAAGTTTTTTAACTAGTGCCCTTTGCGTACAACTTTTGACCGGCGCCGCACACTGTTGTAGGTGGCAAATGTGTAAAACTTGATCTACAAGTTTCGATATTCGAATATTCGGGCAGATGCATTTTCGAATAAACAAATACTAAATTATTCGGAAAAGGACAGCCCTAGAACTTACGGGTAATTCAAACCCAACACTTTATAAGTAGTGAATTGAAATTCCTGGTTGTATCTGTTAATATGTTCCCAAATAAAAAACCCACAAAACCACAAGTATGTGTCAAGCACTTTTGTAATGGATAAACAAGTCTTTCAGATCATGAGATCTACATGTAAATGTACATGTACACACTGCTTATATTATTGCCAGATTACTTCACTGTGTTCAGCCATGCAGTCTGCAAACTACATAAATTGACCTAGTTGTTTTTTTCATCCAAGAAGCTGTTTTTGGCCCATTTCAGGCTCCAAATCCCCTCTCAAACTGGGCCAACATGTGCTATTGATTCCAACAATGGCCTCGACACTGTTCAGGTGAACTTTCATTCTCTTGATACAAATCCACAAATAAATGCTCCACTGTTTGTGTAACTGGCTATATCACCTAAGCCGAATTTCATAGCCCTGCTTAACAGTTCGCAGAAAAGTTGTGCTTACAATAGCAGAAAATCGTGCTGCGACATTTTCATGGCATGGACGTGCTAATGGTTGCGCGCGCATGGATATTTCTATTGTAACATCACTGATATTAATAAGCACCTTTGTCCTCTGGCGTTAATCAAGCTTTTGCTGCACTTACTGCTTACGGTC